AGAGCTATCTTCAATTACCCCACTAGTGTAGTAATGAATCAATAAGTGAGCTGCACAGCACAGAGCGCCCGTGTTGTGCCTCGCGGTCATCCAGCAACGGGCTTTTCTGGGTTAGCTCGGCAAATCCCAACTTTGGCGCTACCTTATTAGGCGTAGCACGATATGTAGGGTAGTTGAGAAGGACAATAGGGGAGGGCCTAAAGCTCCTGACAGACCGCAACGGCAACCGACCGAAGATCCTTTGCAAGACGTCTCTTTACCTACATACCTTACCGAGAATGCAGGGCCAGTGCCAGTAATCCGGATCCTTTGATTACTGATCTTGCCTGGGAGCGTAGATAGGCAGGCACTGCAGGGTATCTATGTACTGGGCCAGATGGGTTGCCGCGTACCGACACTGCTACCAATGAGTATGGTCGTACTTTGCATGCGGAGTCAGCCTTGGTAGCGGTTCTAAATCCTCCAAGCAGTGGCAGCAGTCAGCATCTTCCTTTTTTGGCACTACCGTTGAGAGATCCACCGCAATTTATAGGTAGGCAGGAAGGCAAACATCTTGCTTAGTTGAGGCGGCGACAGAAGCAATGAAAGCAAGCAGACGCCAACGACAAGTCCTGTAACGTCTTGCTGAGCCACCGAGATTAGAGCGTGTTTTGGAATGATGATTCCCATTCCTCTCGGAATTCAATATAAAATATACTTGTTTCCAACGTCATCTTGGGCATGTTTATGGACACCGCCCGATTGCGTTGCTGTGCCTCCGCACCAAGGTCCCTTTTCCAACGGATTGCTCACCTCACCCAATCAATGCACGAAATCGATACCCCACCGTGGGTAAGATGGACTCGAGCTGGCCTGCCCCTCCATCATCACCGCCGCGCAGCTCTCCCTCTCCTCCAATCTCGAACGACTTCGCATCTTCAGCCTCATCCACGCCCTGCATTTTCCTGCCATTGACTGCCTCGTTCACCCAGTGCACACAATCAACTTTCCGCAATGGCGTCCCACGAAGATGATACCATGCCCGAGGAGACCCAGGGCTACAAGCTCTCCCAGCCCAAGCAGAGCTTGGCCCAGTACCAGCAGATGGGTATGTTTACTTCCATTCCATTCGCCACCAGCCTACCAAGACCGGATTCGCACCTGGTTTTGGATTCCTCTATTCTGCCTGCACTTCCACAGAAGCTCAAAAAGGCTCGATTCTTCACAATGTTCACTCCCATGAATGCCAACAACCGCCCCGCCCCTCAATCATAGCTCCGGGCGCACTCGCCGCCATTCGTGCTGCCTCTTGCCCGACCACCAACACTGACCATTCCAACAGACGCCGGTGATGAGTCCCTCCAACGATACAAGGAGTCCCTGGGCCTGAGCGGCGGCACCAGCATCTCCGACCCCAACGACCCCCGCGTCTGCATCATCCTCGCCCTGACCATGGACTCCCCTGGCCGCCCTCCCGTCACAATCGACCTCTCCCGACCCGGCAGCGAGAAGAGCCTCAAGGACAAGCCCTTCAAGATCAAGGAGAACGCCAAGTTCACCATGAGCGCCACCTTCAAGGTCCAGCACGAGATCCTCAGCGGCCTGCACTACGTCCAGGTCGTCAAGCGCAAGGGCATCAAGGTCTCCAAGGACTCCGAGATGATCGGCAGCTACGCCCCCAGCACCGACAAGCAGCCCACCTACATCAAGAAGTGTAAGAAACCGTGATTGCTAATATTTGGAGTTCCCCCTCGGGAGTACTAATTCGTCGTCGATAGTCCAAGAAGAGGAGGCTCCCTCGGGCATGCTCGCCCGTGGCCACTACAACGCCGTCTCCAGCTTTGTGGATGATGATAAGAAGAAGCACCTCGAGTTCGAGTGGAGCTTCGATATTGCCAAGGACTGGTAGAGACCGCACGTTCATCTGCGTTTCTCTGGGTCCCGAGGTGTCACGAGATATGACTTTTCTACGGAGAGTGAATGGTGGTCAGTTGTCTTTCGAGAAAAAGAATTAGCACATTTTGTTTCATAAGTAGCTAGCATCACTCAAAAAAGTGAACATTGAATCCCAAGTTATACACAAATTCCCTCCCGCTCTCGGCTATCTGCAGGCGAGATTACCCAGGTCATATATTCCGGTTTTGGTATCATACAATTGTAGTTTGTCTCTGATATTTATCAACATAGCATCTGTCCACGTCTATAAGCAATTATAAAAAGTAGTCCGGTAATGCATTGCCATCCTCTGCTCTTTCGCCACCAAGTTGTAAATCCTTATGTTGGTCGTTCTCGGGTGCAGCCGCAAAGACATTGAAGAACCGTTCGCCGTTGAGGCCAACTTCTAATACGCTAGCCATGTTGCCACAGCGGTAGCAGTAGTTTGGGGCGCTCCAAACCGTGCTGAGGCGATCGTCGTATAGGATCTGGAAGCCTTCCTGGCATAGCTGATGTGCGCGAAGGATATGGCCCATGCCGTTCACGGCTAGAAATTTCTTGACCACCTGAGCGCCAAATGTGTATCCAGCACCACGTGGCGACAGGGAAAATTCGTCTCGGTCAGGATCTGGGTCAGACCAGACTAGATCGGCCATGGGCCCTTCGTGAGGAATTTCGCGGAATCGGTCGATAATCTTAATTTGATCGATCGAGTGGATGGAGGGGGAAAGGCCTAATCCAGTAATCAGTTATCACAGCGTGGCATGCGCAAGGCTCAAGACAGACAAACCTCCGTGAACACAGAATATTTGGTTGTCGATCACGACACTGAGCGTTAGAAAATCGAACATATCGGTGAAGTAATGCCACACGTTGGCATTGCCATACTTCCGGGAGCATTCGGTATAGAATCCATATGACTGGGTGACGCCGCGCGACTCGTGGTTGCCCCGGATCAAGTGCACTCGGTTTGGATATCGCAGCTTCAAGCACACCAAGAGGGAAATGGTCTCGACGCTGAACATGCCCCGGTCCACGTAGTCGCCTAGGAAGAGGTAGTTGGTATCGGGGCAATACCCGCCGATCTTGAATATCTCTATGAGATCAAAGAACTGCCCATGGATATCGCCGACGACGGTTATGGGAGCCGCGACATGGACGACGTTGCTCTCCCGCATCAGCAGTTCCTTGGTCTTGGCGCATATTGCTTCGATGACGGATTCGGCCAGCAGCTCCTTTTTATATAATCGCGCGATGCACTCGTCGAGATCGACGGATGCTTGGGGAGGGTTAGCGTTGATGCGGTCGAGGTTCCTGTTGGGGAGGCTCACATGGAAGGCTTGGCATGGTGATCAGGATAGGGAGAGGCCCAGCTGAGCTTCTCAAATTCGGGGAATTGGTAGACTTAGCAACAACGCTGCCTGCGCGTCTGCTATCAACCTTTCATTAAGGCTTGTCGGGGTTGACGTTGGTTCTGCTCCAGGCGAAAGCTATGACTGGAGGGGCGCCAGCTGGATGCACCAACATGATCGGTTCAGAACCCAAGAATTTTCACATGGACGCTGCAGAGCAGGCTGACGGTGGCTTGTATCTCGCACAGTGGACTGCGAACTGCGGCTCGACGTTCAAGCTGTGCGTGTACAGACACAGACGAGGTGATGGCGGATGGGCAATAAGCTCTCGTGTGTCCTACCAGGGAAGCGAAACGGCAAAATAAATTCTAGCCTTCCCGTGGCGGGCAGCAGGCGCGGTGTACCTGCTTGCCCTCCAAGGCTGGCAGCCCTCGGAAGTACCTCCTGCCAGCGCACTCGGCGTTAGATTGGCTCGCTCCGTACATGATGGCCCCATGAAGATTTATCAGCAGACGGAAATTACGACGGATGACTGGCGTGCACTCTGCAATGGACGAGGCATCTTTTACAAGCAGAAGATGAATTTGGACAGATATTATGGCTATCAGATGCAGAACGTGAGGGTCGTAATCTGCTGTGCAGCAGCAGCCACAGTTCCGTACAACGGTGCTGGCCAAGGGTGCCGTATTGGGCCGTTGCTCAGGAATTAAGCTTCCACCCCAACGCACCCGAGGGAGAGGCCCAACTGCCGCCTGTCAAGCAGCAGGACTCGGCGTGCCACAGCTGTAGCTTGGCAGCCTGCTGGCATGCGAACGAGATCGGCAAGCTGCAATAGCTGGACTTGTCGGTTCGTAGGGAGCGGAATGGTTCGTCGCCCTCTTGCGCTGCGGTACACCAGAGTACATACAGGTACGGGAACCGGTACAACCAGACAGTCACCTGGCTCGGCAGATGCTCGGGTGTTCTCGCTATTCGCTGCCTGGTACGGCGGAGCGACGTCCATTTCAGCGCTGTCAGTGGTGCTGTGGTCCGTGCGTCTGACGTCTGACTAAGTGGTTCGCGATGTACCACAAAGTGCTCCGAGGTGAAACTTTGGCCAGCGAGTTTCCTGCCATGTCCGGCGCCTACGGTCAATCGCATTTTGTTCGCAAGGCCCATTCAATGAGGCGACAATAAGAGCCTCTTTCACAAGGCCATTTGGGGCTTTGGAAAGAGGCTATTGAACACACCAGGCTGGGCGGTTGCGCGTGCATTGAGAAGGTAATTCCGCTTGTACGCCCCATTGCAGCATGTGTGAGTTGTTCGACTGACCTCAATGCCAATGCCAATGCAGCTTCGACGACGGCCGGCCGACGACGACTGCGTACGGCTGTCAGTCTCGTTTGATGTTGGGGGATCTCACCCAGTCCTCACCTTGATCAAAACAAAACAAACCCTCTCTCACTTTCTTCAAAACAAACCCTCAACCTAAACCTCCTTCCACCCTCGTTGTGAAATCCCAGTCATCCACGACTTTTCACACAACGTCTTCAAACCTCTCTCTACAAATCCTCGCGACTAACCTCGTACCTTGCAACTAACCTCTACTCTCGCAACTTACCTCTACTCTCGCAACTTACTTCCATCCTTGGAACTTACCTCAAAACCTGCAACTTGCCTCAAAGCCTGCAACTTGCCTCAGTTCTCGCAGCTGAACCCAAGATCATCACTTGATCCAAAGCTCACATAGCCAAGATGGCAGACCACCAGGGAGGATACCCTAAACGTCCAGAGGAAGCCTCCTGTGTCAATTGCGGCGGATCTGGACACTGGGCTATTGCATGCCCAGAGCCAACGCGTGAAGTTACTGCGTAAGTGATTCATCCTCATCATTGGCATGGGAATACAAACTTACCTGAATTCAGAGGATTTGAGGCGTGGCGGAGCTCGTCACATGGTGGCCAGAGAAGTGGCAAGGACCACAACCGTGGCGGCAACAGACGGCCTAGCGCTCCTATCATCACCAGATATGGACCTCAAAGCACCCAGGACCTTTCCAACTTTCCACCTCCTGGATACAATCCGGGGCCCCCAGCGCCATATCCAGTGCCATTTCCAGCGCAGACTCACGAGTATGCGCCACCACCACCTCCTGCTGACCAGGGCTTCCCCCAATACCCCCCTCCAGCCCATTATCCTCCAGCTCATTATCCGGCTGAATATCCTCCGGGTTATCAAATTTCACTTCCGGAACCTGTACTACCTCCATCGTATGGGCCTCCTCCACCAGGCCATCAGCTAACTCATGTGCCTCCTGGAACAAATGGGTCACCACCAACGATGCAGGCTCACCTGGGCGGATACCAACCTCAGGTCCCTGCCACTCTTTATCCTCAGGTTTCTGGCAGCTACCCTCCACTCCCCCCGCCTGTGTACACCGGACCTCCTGGTCTTGCACAAGCTCCCGGTCGCTTTGAGCCTCCCACAAAACCCAACTATGTTCATGGTGGCTCTGATAAGCACCAGTTCAACAGGGGATCAAAGCCCAGGAAGCAGGCAAAGCAGGCTCCACAACAAAAGCCTCTACCTTCAGGTGAAGGATTGGCACACGCACTTCCACCGAAGCCCCCCATCAAAAAGCTTCCTCCTGCATATCTGCATCCATCGTATCTCTCAAACCTTCATCCAGGAAATCAGAATAGGTTGGATTGGCGACGTAGTCAGCGAAGCCAGAAGCAGCAAGAACGCGACCGATCCAACCGGGAGAGGGGCAACCAGAACGGCGGTGCCAACAACCGGCGAAACTCCAGTCATAGGAAGCAAAATGTGTCGAACAAGAGCAACAGTCCACGATTTCGCAAGAGATCCGGAGACGGCGCTTCAGCTGAAGATGCAAAATCTGTTACCACCACTGAGGCATCACCAGCCAGGCTCGAGCCAGAAGATAAGTCTAATGAGGCGTCGACGCCTCTGAAGACACCTGAACCTGAGCTAAAAGATGAGAAGCCTCCCACTGAAGGAGGCTCTAGTAACCAAGAAGTTACAGAGCCCCATGACCAGGAGAAGCCAAACGTCGCAGACCAGCCGAAGGAGAACTCGGACGACGTCAAAGACGCCAGTGTCAACTCCGAGAGCGGGGACGTAAAACCACTTCCTAGCGATGATCCTGCTACAGAGCTTGTCAGCAACGATACAGAGCGTGCGGAGACTGTTGAAAAAGACTTTACTGCCATCCCGGAACAAGAGATCTCAGCTGATAAACCTTGTGCTGAGCAAGAATGTTCAGAAGAGGCCAATTCTGAGGCACCTGATACCGTGGAAGAGCCAATCGATCGTCAAGATATGGGACGAAAGCGTAAACTCACAAATGAGGAGGATGACTCTCCTCAAGAGCGTCCCATTAAAAGACAAAAGTCATCCGAAGCTGAGGGCCTACAACCTAAGGAGCCACTCCAGGTGAATGAAACCAACAATGGTCCTCAGTCGTCTGAAGACAGCAGCCTCCCTGTTCCGCTTGAAGAACAGTTGCCCTCAAATAGGAGAGACTCTATTCTCAGCGGTGGATCCCGGCCTGCATCTAGAAGGTCATCAGTCTCAAGTCGATCATCCGGCCTGGACTCTCTCGAAGCTGAGTTACTAGGCCGGCCTTCCAAGGAGAAATCTAAGACTGAAACGAAAGAAAAAAAGAAGAAGACGGATGGCCGTGGAACTGGCAAGAAACGTCAGCCCAAGGTCAACTCTGCCTATAGGTATGTTCATCCACGTCTGCCCGTGGAAACAGGCTGCTGATATTTCTCTAGTCGCCGATGGTGACTCTAGTTGACTTCCCCTTTGTTTTCCTTCCTTTCTTTTTCTTTCCTTTTTGCACAGCACAAACCTTCCCCTCACCTCTGAGTGTTGGCTTTCTTTTGAGTTTTTAGATGATCATTTTGTTCTCCTACATGTTGTGCTATCAGGCAGGCGTCTTACAGAAACGAAGGGGGGTTATTGAGCACACTGAACCAGCATTATGTCTTTTCTTCGTTCGATTCATTTTCCAGTTGGCATTGGGACCGCCTCCTACTATACACTTATCCTCTTCCCCAATTAGTGGCCAATCGTGCCATCTTTCATGACACTCCCTCTTTTTCCATCTCCTAGACATATTCCATCCTATAGACATCACAAGTTACTTGTGAATACCCTCATTGGAAAAGTTGTTTCTTTGGATCCAACTCTGAGATTTTCTCAAATCCATCATAAACCCGCGCACGGAGCCATATGGTACCTGCCGTCCCGTCATTACTGTAGTTCTGAACATCTCCTATATGTACCCTATTCCCATGGGTACTCCTGTTCTTTCCACATTCCCAAGTAGAGTTGTTCTCATGCCGAGGCACTCTTAAAACAGAGTCACCATTAAACGGAGTGACTCTAACACCGGAAAGAAGAGAACAAGGCTTCCTAAGTAGGGGCCAAGCCTTCTCCCATCGTCACATGTGTGACTCCAATACACCCACGCAACACCTCACTATCCCATCGTCGACGTCAAACGACGATGAACCAACCAACGGAAGAGCGACCCAATGGACGCCAGTTTGCCAAGCAGTTAGAGACGGGCCTAGAGCCACAGACACTTCCCTCCCGGAAGGTGTTTTGGCAGGCCAGCCTTTGCAGGCCAGCTGCTCGACTATCGGCCAGGCACCGAAGGGACTATCGCTCGAAAAACAACCTATCGCCCCGCGGTTCACCCGAGGGCCCAAAAGCACAAAAAAATCGAAAAAACAACGAGGAAAACCACACCAAAAAAAATGGGAAAAGGAACAAGGAGAACGAGAGAGCAAAGAACGAGAATGAGAAGGCAGACTTCTCACGCAACGCAACAAAAGCCAAACTGGCCATACTCGGCCAGATCACTTTGGCGGCGAGCTACCGATTAATGATGTAGTCAGAACGGACGGCAGAAAACCCTCTTGGTCTTAAGTGATTGAGATGAAATAAATGCAAAGGGAGGAGTCTACGGGGCTCCAACTGGGAGCATGGGATCTGGTGTCTGATTGTATAAGGGAAAATCGCTACGGAATCGCAATACGCAATGGTGCCAGAGACGACCCCTCTTGATCTTAAGTGATGGAGAGGGACAAATGTGAAGGGAGGAGTCTATGGGACTCCATACTGGAGCATGGGATCTGGTGTCTGATTGTTCAAGGAAAAATGGCTACGGAATCGCACTACGCAATGGTGCCAGAGACTCCTCTTGGTCTTAAGTGATTGAGAAGGATAAATGTGAAGGGAGGAGTCTTCGGGACTCCATACTGGAAGCATGGGATCTGGTGTCTGATTGCTAGGGAAAAGTAGCTACGGAATCGCAATACGCAATGGTGACAGAATTGGAACTGCACCCAAGTCAATCAATCAAAAGTTTCTCTCAAGTTTCTCCTTTCCCTGCTCTGAATGATGATGATGATGTGATGCTGTGCGAAGTAAATACTGTGATGAATACAGGCCAGTGAGAGATGCTTTATGATCTGTGTTAAATACTACAGATACCTACCTAGACATACAGTTTTTTTTTATTAAACGAATGGATGAAAGGGGCTGTAGTCCTGCTGGGAAAGGTTTTCCCTAGGAGAGGCAAGGAGAGGCAAAGAGGCGAGGAGAGGCATAGAGAGCAAGGGAGATGTGATGAAAAGATATGATGTAAATAAAGACTTCAAGTCTAGTTTGATACCTAGCCTAAACCTGGCCTGGTGTGAATAGGGGAAGAAGATTGTCATTATAAAAATGGCATGAGCGGCTGCAAGAGGCACCACCGCCGACGACGGATATCGACGACGAGGCACATATTTGTACATTCACTCCTGCCCCTCATTTATCCAAGACACTTTCATACGCCCCCCCCCCCAAGTGACGGGGCGAGGGGAAATAGATCGGCGGCCTGCTTCCCTAAATGCAATATCCTTCCAATCGGTCGGCATGCCATGGCTACTTGGCTGTGCTCCAGGCAGGGCCCCCGCGCTCTAGTTGCTGGGGGCGTGGATCTCCCGCATCTGGGGTGCAGGTCAGGGTCCGGGGTTGGTCAGCTTGGGGCCGTATTCCCGTTTCATGGTTGACTACAACAGCCCTGCTTCCCTCCAATCACCAGCCCCTACATGGCCTCGAGGTAGATGGGCACACAGTGTCAACTGGACGATGTGGGCAGGAGCTTAATGGGAGTAGATATCATTTGGCACGCTGCAAATAGAAATTAAGTAGAACTACCGCCAGTAAACATCCTTATCAAACTTTTGTTTATCCCACCGTACGAAGCCCGAACAGCAAAACAGGGCTTGGGTTCCATACTCGAACTCCAGAAACGGGCAGACAAGGAATGTTCCAGTCTCAATCTCAAACAATCAAATGCTCAAAGCCTAGCCCTTTCAAATCCTGTAACCAGTGTGCTCGGCTATCCGTGTGACCGGCCCTGGCTGCGGCATCTTGCAGTTGCCAGGTCGCTTTGAGCATCTCAATCGCGGTAAAAATATATCCCCACCGGCAGGTTTCCCACATATCCAACAGTCTTTTCAGGGTCCACGTGCGTGTTTCTGCATCGCAGGTTTCAGCTCCTGCAATGAATGTTGGCCATGACGATGCTTTAAAATAGGGGTCATCGTGCCCTAAAGCACCAACATGTTCTAGAATATCTTTGACCAGCAGGTCTGTGTCGACCGGCCTTAAGGATCGGACAAGCGGCAACGCCTGCAGGATGTATAAACATGCTGCAGATCGATGTGCAGAAGCTACATGTACTCGGCTTTCAACATCTGTGATGTGTGGAATCTGGCGTAACTGCTCTGCCCACGCTGGGATATCGAAAGTCAGCGCTTGGTCAATCAGAGAAAGAGCCTCTTTTGTTGGAGGAAGCGACCAACTACAAATCAAGTCAGAATAATGGGCTGACAGGAGAGTGAGATAGTGTCATCAACATACGTGTCAGTACAAGGGGTATCATAAGATAACTGTGAAGCCATGAGGATGATCTGGAGGATTTCTGGAGGGCATGATAGCGAACTTGTAACCTCCACTCGCTTCATCACTGGTAGTAAATCGAACGCATATTTAGCAATCCGAGCTGCCAGACCACCGGACGAGAGGGTAGAGCCAAATATGTGGTAGCTAAGGGATTTGTTAGCTCTAGCACACCCATTTCGTTGATGCCTTTCTGTGTGAAACTCACATGAAGCAATCCGCAATGACGCAATCTCGAAGCGTCCTGCTTGAAGAGCTTTTCATATTGTCTGGTGTTAGCAATGCCATGATGCTAGCTGCGCCCTCAAGATGTGCTTTCCAACTAGATGGATCTTTCTTCTCAACGTCGATGAGGTCAAACTTGATGAAGAAGTGCATGGCGGCTAGGGCAACTTCGCTCCCAGCAGGATCCAAAGTATCAAGGACCTCGCGCATATGAACCATCGCCTTCTGCTTGGCAGTCAGGGCATCGATGAGGGCTTGGCGGGACACCAAGTCCCTCGACCTAAGCGAGGCAAGATATCCACCAGGGTCGGTGAGCCCGGTAGATATGTCTGTGATTGGCCGGATGATATTGGACCAGTGTATGGCTGAGGTGGCAATGAGAATCTGGAGTAGAAGGGGGTGCTTTCTTGTCATCGGTAGCAATTCCCGGAATGGGTTACTGCCAGGGCTGTCCCTGCCGACAAGGTCTTGACAAACGCGATCAGCGACTAGGATGTCGGAGCACTATGCATTAGCATTCAGTCTAGAACGTCCAGGAAGGGTGTGTCATGGTGTTGCATGCAAGATATGGAAGGGTGGTCTGCCGAGGAGGCGGTAAGGGTTGGCAGGCGTGAGTGTATGTACTCCTCCCTTGGCATATACACCGAGACGCATACACCTGACAAGGATTATCATGTAGGGACCAAAGAATTGCTGTCGGAATATATTGAGCCGACAAAAACGAGGAAAAGGGGTGGTTGAGGAAGAGGATCACCAGAGCTCAGAGCGAACAACAACTTACAGTAAGCGAGGTAAGATCTGGAAGGGCGGTCCAGGTCTTGAAAAACGGGATCTGTGAGTACCATGGCTGATGCGGTTCCAGGCTCGGGCGAAACTGCCGGAAACATGGACTCGTTCGTTTGCATCAGGGGTTGAGCCTGCCCTTGGTGAGGATTCGATGGGGGAAGCGTCATATCACTGCTGCTGCTCATGATGGGGCTCGCAGCAGTGCTCGACGCCGCGGAGACGTGGAAATCTGTAGCATGGCGGCTGGACTGCGTGGGTTTCAGATTGCCCTGGGAATCAATCGCCTGTGTCGTCCACACGAACACCTTGCCGTACCCAAGGCACTCCTGCCCTGAGACCGCGCATTTGTGGCATGTTGGCCATGAGCGGTCGCAGCGCAGGCGTCGACGACGACAGTTGTGACACGGCTTGCTTGTGCTTGGCATGCGCCAATCTCTGCTGCCTCAGATAGCGTCTTCTTTATCGAAGGCCAGATCTGAGACAAAAGAGGATAAGATATCTTGTTGGTGGTTCAGAGATGGTCGATTGATGGAGGATACCGGATGTAAGAGATAGTGTGCAGAGGACCCTTGACTTGGAAGATGACAGTCTAAATTCAACCAAGCAAAGATGCTGATGAGGGTGTGAGGCAGCTGGCACACACAAAACAAGGTGGTGCTTTGATTATCGTACTAGCGAATGGTGGCAGATCGGAGATAAACAAGTGGCTTCTGTTGGATGGTGCAAATCGGCTCGGCTCTGGATGGCGGGGGAAGCCGAGTCGTCGTTATAATCCGGATCTAATCATCTCTGTTTCTGTGCAGGCTTTATTTTCTACCTTTCTGCCTTGTTGCATCGACTCTCAGATGCGTTGTGCCAGCCTACTATTTTGCAGCCTGCCTTGGCTGTGTCGTATGGCGATCCGTAGGTAAGGTAGGTTTAGATGGATTTCCTTGCCACACCTCGAGGATAGAGATGATATCACAGCTCGCATGGACAAATAAAAGGGCACAGGCGAATGCTACAAGAGTGAGGCGGGCGATGCAGCTCAAGTAGGATCAGGAAGTCGGCGGTGCCAGCGAGGGAGGCGAGGAGATGACGCAGAGAAAAGAGAACTGACGAGAGGGCTTGATGGGTCTTGCCTGAGCTGCACGTTTTCCCGTTCGGAGCGTCTGCTTGGAGTGGGTGATGCAGGATTGAGGTGATGCAAGCGGAGGGGGTGTGGCTGTCTAAATTTCCTAACCCCAAGCTCCCCTCACCTTGGTGGTGCCTTCCCCGTACAGTAACCAACGACAGCTGCAACGTGCCTGCCACCAGCGTACCTGCTGCTTGCCTTGGGTTAATTAATCCGCTCGGGGCAAGCAATGTATTACTGTTCGCGGTTAGTCCGCGGCCTACAGAATTGGCTCTTTCTGGCTTGGTAGGCAGTAGCTCGGAGTACAGCCCGTGAGCACGGTAATTAGAATGTGGCCTGTTAGCAGTCTAATACGTCCCGGGGCCAGGGCATGAAGGGAGGGTCGGGTCAGGTGGACAGCAAAAATCGATAGGTGAGCGGAACCGCTGGGCTAGGGAGCAGGTAAAACATCAATCGGTGAGGCAGCGGGTATCACATCGTGAGGTCCGGACTGTAGGAGTATCTGAGCCCGCGCTTCAATTAACCATTTTTGCTTCACTAGTGGACGAGGACTCCGCAAGCCCTGTGCATGGCTACATACCGTATAGCAGAACTGGGGGAGGGGAGGCAAGGAACCTAAACAACGTGCGAGATGAACCATGTCTCATCTGCCACTACCAAGTTCTCCCTAATCACTCAATCGCTTGCCACATACTGTGTTTGATGCCCTTCATGCACGTTGGTTGTTGGCCAGATGGCCCATGGAGGTGGATAAGTGAGGCGGCCTGCCACTTCACTGGTGGGTGGGATCGAAACCCGAACACAGGCCGAGTGTGCGCGCTACCTAAAATGGAAACCTTCATACAAGACGTGCGTCCGATGCACGGCGGGAGGAGACCGGGACCTGCAGCGCTGCAAGGTTTGGCTTGGTCGCCTTCTAACCTGACACTTGTCACTGTCCATCTAGCTCCCACAAAGCTGGGTCTACCCACAGCACGGTGTAAGTGAGCCAATGTGCCTGTATTTATGGACCTGCCCAGACAGCTGCCTCACTTCAACGATGATCCATCCGATCATCCTCGCGGCCTCTATCAACTGGACCTAATCACATCAGCGAAAGGCCGTGTGCGTGGGTGCCGCCACTTTACCGCTCTCCCCATAGCGATCCAAACCCCGCTGTTCCGCCGCTCGGATCATCGAGCTTCGACGTACAGACTAGCTCTGAGCTCCACTTACTGACAAGCTTGACAGGGGTCCTAGGTAAAGAGCCGGTCCTACAAGACTGTCAGTACCGCGTGACACCTCCATCTACCAGGACCCTTAAGACCCTTTAGATCCAAGACGGGAGTTTTCAAGAATGAATCTAGCCTAAATCTATGAGCAGCGACCTGGGACCCAGGGTAATTTTTTTCAGCGTCGATCGTAGTTGTGCCGGAAGGAGATGGAAGCATTGACTTGCACGCAAGTATTGGTGCTCTCTGAAACAGGTGCTGTGGTTCATCATTTCCCCTTTTTTTATGATATCAGGTATCAAGTTGTTTTCTCTATTGTTTCCTCCTCCCTACACCCACCTGTGATGACTATCATATTGATATAATATGCACAGGCAGAAGAATGGCGGAGAGACGTGGCATCGTCAATATGGATGGACAGTCTGTCACTTGTCGCGTCCCGCCAATATGACCAGTCCAATAACGTCCTGGCACAAAGGCGGCAACCACTGGCCAATGAGAACTAGAATACTGATAAGATTTGTACAAGAGATGTTTCATATGCAACTGGTGACCAATCTGATTTGGAGCCCGTCATATCTCAATGTCTGTCGAAAATGTCCTCGGCTGACGAGACGAGCATAAAGGGGCTCCTGTAGCTTCCTCACAAACTGGGCGGCACGTTACAGTCTCATGCCAGACAGTCCAGACCAGGAGTGAAAACAAATAAGAAGAAGAAATCACCAAAAGAAAGTTGAAATCTCACAAATTGGTGTAGATCCCCGCTCAAAATAACGACCAGCTTCAACTTCAACCTCCTTCAAGTATAGGCAAGGTAAGATTCGGCTAGCTGAATTTGGTTATCTTAATCAGACCGAGCTGCCTTATGTTTGGGTATTAATAATACTTTAAATTAGCATGCAATGAACTGAAGCTACTCAAGCCCCGGTAGACGTGCATAATCGGAAACCTGATAGCTACGAGGAGAGAACACCGTGGGGTGAGTGGATTGCTCCGAGTTTATACAGACTAATCCTTGCGACTTTGACAGCAGCTTTAGTTGCCGTTGTATGAACATATCCACTTTGGAACTGGCCCAGAACAAACAATTTGGTCACAAGTCCAGCTCCTGAAGGCTTGTTAGATCTTGCCAAGAAGGGCATGGCAAGCTCAGTAAGATCCTGCAATGCAACGGCGAGAGGCCTCGAATGCCGCGGACACGATGCTGAATCTCTGGTATCCAGCCGAGCCTAGAATGCCGAGAGTGATACCTATTACCAACTACCTACCACTGTAGAAGCAGATGTGCACACTCATTCCCCATGAAGACGTGAAGATATTTATCGGCAGTGCCGGCCCCCCTATATCCTGGCTACATGCAGAGCGTTCTCGGTAACTTGCCGCTCCTCGGTGTATCAATCGGTATTTATGCGGCATCTAGGGCCCATAGGGCATCATCCAACCCCAGGCAGTTTGTCACGCGCAACGGTTCCAAACCCTGCAGCTTGCCTCCACGGTTGCACCAAGGAGAAAATTTCAACGCTCAGGTGCTCGCAGGAACAGCGTGGTCGGAAATCCTCGTGAGGTTGGCTGAGACCACAACAGCGGGGTTGTAAGAGTCGGGAGTATTCTGGGCACAGAGTGTAGCACACTCCCCCAAGATCCTCACGAGAAATTCCCCAAGTTTACCGCCCAAGTAGTGTGTGTTTCGCAAGACTTGATGAACGTTGACTGTTACCCGCCAGTAACTTTCCAACACCAACCAGAGTACTTGCCGAAGAACAGTATAAATCAGACGCGTATGCAACTAGAATCTTGAGCTTGAATCCTAGAATTTGTCGTTGGCCGAACTAAACAGCATTACTTTGCATCGAGGTTGTCATACCTAAACAGAATCGCAAACATGGAAGGCGAAAGGATGGCCTTGGTATCTGGGAATGGGATTTTAGTATATAGCCCTAATTAAATTCAATGTCAAATAACAGACTTGCAGTCTAGCCCCGTTGGCTCAGTGGTAAAGCGCATCACTAGTAATGATGAGATCACTGGTTCGATTCCAGTACGGGGCATGCAATTCATTTTGCATTTTTTACCCAACCGCTGGTTTGCCATTGCGTTTCCTATTTTAATTCCTCAACATTGTTATTAGTTACGCAATTCACTCTTTTTGTGTTGGTATAGTGGTTCGTCTACCCACAGCTCCTCGTCAACAGCAAACAGGCACTCCAGCCGATGTGACCAGTAACGAATGCACGTCAGACAGATGCGAAGCTGCGATTCCAATTCGCCTCGCTCGAAGTAGAATGCAGAAAGGTGTAGTGCTAACTTTTACGGGCAAGAATTTCTGCCTATCGGACACATTCTTCCTGTCAATCTCCTAGCCATAGATGGGATGCACGGCCTCCTGTATGAAGAGCGCGGTATCAACTGATCTTATTCTAATTCAACGAGCTGCTTCTCTCAGCCAGCCTGTAACAGAAGTGAGTGTTTTAGATCGCGTAAGATGGAATACGTAGATTTTACACATTGAAACCCCTGGCAAACTCGTCAAGGCAAGCCTCCCTGGTGTGCTGGTTTCAGACGCCACGGAGTGACTTCATAGGTGCTGAGTCCCTACCTTACCATCGTGAAGCTCAAGCTCATCAGCAGAAATCGCCTTGCAATCAACTCTTGTCACCCACCTCGCATTTACTTCCGGGCGTGCCCGTCTAATTTCATGCTAACGTAGCGCTGTATGCCTTTTTCCACTCGTTTCGGCACACTCGCCTACCTCTCACCTTTTGCTCACCACAGCACGGCACTTGCCCTGTGTGGCTTGCCTTTCGCTCTTTCCCTCTACGACTACGACTTCCTGCCTCAGGTATCGAGCAGATTTTCCTCTTTCATTCACTTCTCTTTTGTGCTGATCAAGTCTATGTTCATCTCAGCACTTCCCTTGGGCTTCTGATTCCACAAATTGGACGACCGAGACGGAATAGAAATGGAAATCCAAGATCTCGACGCGGAGACCCTCCGGCTCTTCATAGAGCTTCAATCCGAGGACTTGAAATTACTCGACAAGGGAAAACGCAACGCCAATCAGCCCATGTCGGACAATCAGCTAGCAATGCGTCTCTACAAGGCGGAGCTTGGGAGCCTAGCATCCTTCAGCGCGGACCGAGCCATGTGCAGAAGCATTTCCAACGCCGTGTCAGTTGATGGTGCTGCGATAGTCGCGCATAAGCAAGTCGAGCTACAGGCCAGAAGCGACCGACAGCATGCCTTGGCCTTGAGCACAAACTCGCAACCCGCCACGGCGATATCAAGACCTTCTACAGGCCTGCCCACGCAAACAAATGGGGAGGGGAGGGCTCCTCCGGACAGAAATGCCCCAGTGCCAAAGCCTCCCGGCTCAAGCCTTCCAATGGGCGTAGTTAATAATGGCAAGGATAGCCTCAAAAGAGAGTCATCACAATCATCCACAGAACTTGAAGCTGAGCGGAAGAAACACTCGACTCCGTTCACTTGTTTAGCCTGTTGCGAGCGTATCTCTTACGACAACCTCACGTATCGCGTCTGTGAGCACCATTATTGCAGGGCTTGCCTCGTTCACTTGTTTCAGAGCTCTCTTACCGACGAGTCGCTGTTCCCCCCGAAATGCTGCCACAAACCAATGTCTTTCACAAATAATCGGAAATTCTTCTCTGAAAGTTTTTGTACTTTGTTCAAGGAAAAGTCCATCGAGTTCACGACCCCCAACCGGACGTATTGTCATGTCAAGACATGCTCGGCATTTGTCCCCCCTTCATCTATCCAAGGCGACAGGGCAGTGTGCAGAAAGTGCAACTGGTCGACTTGCACACACTGCAAAGGTCCATATCACGCTGGCGCCTGTCCTGCGGATTCCGCTACGCAGGAGCTTCTTCGTATCGCAAGAGAGAATGGATGGCAGAGCTGCCAGTCGTGCCACAGAGTGGTGGAGCTCTCCACCGGGTGCTACCATATCAGTAGGTTTCCCCTTTGCCTATCGTTCGCAACATCTTGACGTGTCTCGCTGACCTATGTATTATAGCCTGTGTGTGCAAACACGAGTTCTGCTATGTGTGTGGAGTGAAGTGGAAGAACTGCCAGTGCTCACATTGGGATGAGCGACGGCTACTCGAGCAAGCAAACAACATTGTCAATCGGGACGCAGCCGCTAGGCCAATGGCTCCTGCGTTGAGGGCTGCGCGAGTCAACCAAGAGAGGGCGAACCTGAGACAAAATCACGAGTGCTCACATGAGAATTGGAAATCTCGGGGTGGTTTCCATCGATGTGATGAGTGTCGCAGCAAGCTAACGACCTTCATATATGAGTGTAGACAATGCCGTATCATGGCGTGCAGGCGGTGCAGATACAACCGTCTTTGATAATGATGCAGAAGACCTAAAGGAATTCGGCAGTTCTGGGATTTTGCAATACGAAGATGCACCTGTCGGTTTCACATCCAGGAATTGGAGAGAGTTTTCCAAGTAATGACAAGGATTTTAGTCTAAAGACTTTCCTATTCTCAACATGTTCCCAGTCTAGTTTGTTTAAATGGTAGCCAAGAGATTGATCGTAACCACTATGTCTGAGAATGTTTAAACAAATACAATTGAAATGGCAAGAGATGACCAACCTAGTATCAGAAATGCTTGGGATCATATGCCGCCTTGTGGCCCGACTCTCGCTCTTCATCAACATACTCGTTGGAGCCATACGCAACTCGGACATCATCCAGTTCCTCCCTAACTTCCATCCAGCGGTCGCTCGTCGCCGGGACCGGGAACAGCTTGCATAAAACAAAGTACATCGACAACGACACGATGAAGCCACTAAAAAAGTTGAGATTGTAGATGTACTGCGCGCCAATCGGCACTTCTCGTCCCGTTTGTCCCACGAAGCCGACTACATTCACCAGAATACCGGAGATGTAAGCTGCGTACGCCCGCCAGTGGACACCAAATGTGTAGTAGTAAGGGCTGGATTTCCGCCCATCGTAGAGCTCCTTGATCTCTAGGTAGCCCTTGCGGATAAGATAGTAGTCGCAGATCATAACACCTGCAATCGAACTGAGGAAGACGCTATAGGCCGAGAGGTAGGTAGTGAACTGGTTGTTATCGCTGAGGAGATTCCACGGGCACATGGCCAGACCGATCGCGGCACAGATGTAACCGCCGCGACGGATATTGAGGAAGCGCGGGAGGAGAGCCGTCATGTCTGTTCCGGCCGAGACGGAGTTGGCGGCGATGTTGGTACCCAGCTGGGCGAGGGCAAAAGCGGTGGCGATGACGAAGATGCCAAACCGCTGGCCGGAGTTGCTGTCGTCGATGAATTTGTCGAGCAGCTCGAGGGGGTCCCAGACGGCTTCTCCGTAAACAACCTCGGATGAGCTCGAGACGATTATACCAATAAAAGACGTTATGGCGAAACCTGTGGGAATTGTGATGAGCTGGGACCACAGAGCATCTCTAGGCTTGCGAGCAAATCGAGTGAAATCGGGATCGTTGATGATCAGGGTGGCGAAATTCGAAATAGAGGACATGATTCCCAGGACAATTTGCCAGCCCAGCTCACTGCCATGGACCTTGTGACCCTGATTGACAATGGGGCCAATACCCCCAGCGCGTGCAACTGCCCAGCCCAGGAATGCAATGCCGGCGACAGGAACAAAGTAAGCCTTGACAGTGAAGAGATGGCGGATCTTGTGTACCGGGAACCAGATAGCCGGGAGGGAGCAGAGCCAGAAGAGGAAGAACGAGACAAAATCGGCTGTGGTGGTGGCGGCATCGTCTGAAAAGGTGTTGGGGATCTTGGTGCGATCCCAGGAGAGCCAAATTGTGCGGATCATGATGTAGACGCATCGTCCTCCAATGTAGGCTTGCACACCATACCAGACACACGCTGAGAGACAGTCAGCAAGTATTCGTCGATTTCTGGATGAGGAAAGCAGGTTGGTTTGGGATTGGTCTACTCACCCATGGCTGCTCTGTTAAAAACCGGCCATAAACTTCCCCAAATGCCAAATGATGATCGTGCGACGACAGGGAAACCGATGTGATACGTCCCCCCAATGCGGCCAGTCAGGCAAATGAAGCAGCCGGCAATTGCGTATCCGACCCAGACGCAGATCCACGCCTGCCACCACGAAAGGCCATTGACAATCATTGAGGACGAAATCATCCATGTGTTGATGTTGAAGGAGTCGGCGATCCAGAAGCCAACAAAGTTCCACGGACCCCATTGTCTCCGCTCCTTTTCCACAGGTTTCAGATCATGGTTAGTGAGCTATCAATTGATTCACGTTAATTAGCGGTCCGTTAAGACATGATTGGTCTCATCTTGGCTGCATGAACATGCGCAGCGGCGTGGTTCGATGCAGCTTCGATGTCTCATTCGTTGGACTTTGGTGGTGAAGTGGCCAACGGATGCTTGATGCAGGACATACCATCAATTGGGTGCTGGTCAAGCCTGACTCTGCTTCTTCGACGGCCAGCTTGTCGGCCCAGCGGGCTGCACGAGACTTGCTCGCCACGTGGATAGCCATTCTGATTGGACGCTGGCTATCTTGAAAAGCCGTTTGCTGCAGCCGATATGCTTGAGTTACAATCTCGTCCGAGCCCTCGGGACTGGTGTATGAGAGGGGAGAATCGGCGGCTACCCAGTGGCTGACAAGGGCTCGATATAAGAGAATGCGCCCTCAGGCAAGATCAGCCGATGCAGGGTCCGACTTTTCTACTCTCCTGCATGCAGGTTGCCGCATGTTCAATTTTTGAGGATCAATGCAGTCGATGATACACAGTTGCTGCGGGCCTTTTCCGGGGGTGCTTATCTTGCTTTGGGGATTGCGAACCGTGTGTGTAATGGAGTGTAGTCAAAGGAACAGGAAAACGCAATGACCCAGACAGGCACCGTGCGGGGAGAACGGCCGATCAACTAATCAAGTGGCCAGAATGACGTTGACGTTGATAAGGTTGTGCGAAGAGGGCAGGGATGGGATCATCAACAGTGCTGAGAACCCCCATTATGTACGCTCGATCCCTGTATATGCTCGCTTGCTGGTGGCAACCAGCAGTTGGCCAAGACGAAAGCAGACGACAGACGGGAGTGAGATCCTGGGCCAGTGCCTGGAAAGGAAACAGAGTTCAGCCAAGCGAGTGGATGGCATGAAATAATGGCTCAGCAAGATGATATCATTCTTTCTGACACTAGTCCAGCCAGCAAGTATGTAGATGAAAGAAATCAAACCTTTTTTTGGACTTTGAGATGCCTTCATTTTACGGATTATATCTTGGGGGCACGGCATATCCTTATCGCAGGATCCGGGGACGAAAAGTCATTGCCGAAGGTGTAGCGCCTAGCACATCCCTGTGGGTGCCTGGGCCGATGTGGTGGCGTCCTATTGGCTACGGCGGCGTTATCTCTCAGGGCAGCCTGTTGCACCAATCACGGGGCTTCTGTTGGGTTCTGGAGGCTAGCAAGGCTCGTTCTGTCTGCGGGGAACACCCTACCCTACTGCATCCTAACCACTAAGACAACATAAGTAGCACGCGATCCCTCCAGAAAGGAACGTGGGGAGCGAGCTGATGGTAAGGTAATTGATTGCACCTGGCGCCGAGATATCTATGATGAGTGTTAGCAGGGGAGGGAAATAAGAGATGAGGAGATTTCTCACGAAAGCTGGAAGCTTTATCAAGCTTCCACTCACGAGCACCCTTCCAGGGGTAAGGTAGGCTCCTCCGATGGGGCACCATATCCACCGCGACCATGACTGAAGGAATATGTGTATATCTTGCGCGGGGGAATGAATCGCTCTCATCCGAGAATACCTATTTATGAACAAATGAGATGGTTCCCTGGCGATACAGAGTGGGATCTCATGCTAGACTGCTTCCTAACAATGAGTTCTCAACGTCCGAGGCAGTGAAAGAGATTATTGAGCAAACAGATGCTGCCGCAGTATCCCCAGACGATGGCGCAGTAAGAGCACATGCATACCATACCGCCTACTATATCTATTCTCTCGCTGAGCAAGTGCGCCATAACCTGCAGCCCTAACTTCTCGAGTTCTTCTTCTGAGGCAACAGGTACCTGATCCAAATTAAGGAGGTATATTGATATTAGGGTCTAGCTCACAGGAATTCTGGTCAGATGCCCCTCAAGTGATGGTGATAACGAGAGCCTTCATAGTCACTATGGTGAGTGCTATCTATCTATCTAGCTCAAGCAAATGAACCTCACTGCCCATTTAGTGGCTATCTGGGCCATCCAAGATGCCAGAAGAAGATAGAATTTTGGAGGACATCATATAGTTTCTTGCTTAGATGTTAGAGCATGGCTTTTTAAAGACTGGAGATGGAATGTTACGGGCTTGGCGAGGTTTAGCGGGCATCTTCTACCTTGATGCACCACCAGTCCTGAGAAAGTACAGTTATCAAATGGTATTCTTGAGGATATCCAGCAATTAATTCACACAGCTCTCTTTAACATAGAACTGGCTGAGAAAGTATACCCGGAGCTAATGAAGCACTTGACAATAGTCATCATCCTTGATCAAGATGCCACCGAGATTGAGAAGAATGGAAAAGACGGTGGCAATCCCATTTGGATTACTCTCTATCTCTATCTATACGGATTATCTGGGGTGAAAACAGGCTCCCAAAGGCCTCTCTTCTCCATCGTCTTTCTCTGGAAACCCTTGAGAATATAATATACGGTCTGCAAGGTGGGCATTGGCACACCGCGGGAAGTTCCTTCCAAGAGGGGCTGTTGAACAATGTTCTCAATCTCAATAAAGTTACCCTTGCTGACATCTTGCATCATGCTTGGTCGGACTTCGACGTCGATGGGGTCATTGAGAATTTTCTTCTGCAAAATGTCAGGTGGTAGTTCGTACCCTGCGGCCTTTGCTGCAGCCACAATTTCAGACATAATTGGCTCGATTAACTCTTGAATTATATGCACACTCTTGCGCATTCGTATAGTATCCATCTGGAGTGCCGCAGAAACCGTATTATAGCTGGAGTTGTAGACAAGTTTTTGCCAGCGAGTGAACTGGACGTCGTGCTCATATTCAATTCTCAGAATTCCGCATGCATTATAGAGCGATATGTATTCTTTTGCAGCCCCTTCGACGATGTCAGGTTTGATCTCTGGGCTGACAAACGGCCCGATGAACTGCACATCGTTATCGTCGTGAAGGATCGTCCCATGGGACGTCTCCGCCACGTTAATAAGAGAGATACTGCTGACGACGGGGTTTGTAGGGAAGCGACTGATGATTGGTTTCTCAATGTTCAATCCGTTTTGTGAGAGCACAATGGCTGTTTTCCCTGGTGTTACTGATGGAGCAATCAGATTTTCCACTGAAGGGGGGACTTCTGGGATATTCTTAGTGGTCACCACGATGTAGTCGAAAGCAGGAAGATTTTCCTCAGCCACGTTTGGGATGGTTCGCCTGACTGGGGGGTTGTATCAATATCAAGGTCCAACTGCCCGGCAAAATGAATAAATCATCCGAAGCCACTTACTATGCGTTGGTCGCCAACCCTTGATGTCATGGCCATGTTCAAGAGAATCTATTTCGAAACCTTTCTTTTGCACCGCCTCAAAGTTGGATCGAAGCACAGCCGTCACCTCTGCCTTGCCACCGATTTCCAGGGCGTAGGCGGCCATGGTGCCCACGCCTCCCATGCCAACGATGAGCACCTTGGCTTTGGACTGGGCCATGACGTATTTTCTTTTTACAAGTTTAAGTTATTTGGCCAATAATCGATGTGGGTTGGGGGGATCACTGGCAAAATGGAGGAATTGGCGGTGGTTCATGAGGATATAAGGGCTCAGCGCCTTACAAGAACACGCCGGCCCGGTTCTGATGCGGAGACCAAGGCGTTCCGGGTTGCTATCTAAGCTAGAGGCATCTTACGTACGGGCCTCTGATTACGTAGCTGGCGCCATCATGACAAGCCTCAGCGGACCCAGCGGTTTGAAACTGAGTGCTCAAAATAGCAAACATCAATGCACAATTGGCGTAACTGCCGTTGAGGTTGACAGGCGGGGAAGCAGCTCCCCTGCTGTTGCTGATCTGACACCCGCCGCAAGATACGGGGATAGGCAGGGTGGGAGGTGCTACTGCGACTTTGCTCTAGTATCGTAGTACGCACTACTTAGGTATGTAAGCGGGCACTGCAAAAGAGGCACCATGGGTAGTGCGCTTTTGATAAGTGAGAGGTGATATTTTCTCCCGGTAGGTGGCTGAAGACGCGTTGCAGAAATACGAGCGACAGCCACCCGAGACTAGCCCTTCAATAGTACCCATGACACGCAGGGGCATAAGGTGAGGCAGTGTTGCTCCCATCTCGCCCTGATGATGCATGTATGTACTTAACGCGGTCTCAGAAGCAATTGCCCCTTCACCGCCTACCCAGGTGGTCCTTTCCAGACGCGCTGTGGGCGGAAAGCCCACTTTTTGTGTGGCTCATCCCCTCCTCCTGCCACCTTGATCCCCCCCGCCAGTTTGACGAGACCACCAGCAATCAAAACAAGACCAAAAAAAATAGTCCAAATAATTCCGACCTTTCCCTCCTCCTCCTCCCAATCCGCTGTCAGCCACCGAACCGCCGTCGCGTCTTTTTCTCAAGGATATAGCTTGATTGTGGTCGACAAGATGGAGGACCAGCTCATCCAGCTGCTGTCCAACACCCACAGCTCTGAACAGGTGCCCCGCCAGCAGGCCGAAATCGAGCTCAAGCGCGCCGCCTCCAATCCTGCCTTCCCCCAGTCTCTGGCTAATATTGCTGCACACACCTCTGTCGATACCTCTGTTAGGCAGTCTGCTCTCACCTCCTTGCGTCTGTTTATTGAAAGGAATTGGGCTGTTGAGGAGCTGGGTGATGGACCTCAAATCCCCATTGCCGACAATGTCAGAGCTTCGCTCAAGCAGGCTCTGCTGGACCTTGTTCTGAGCGGGGAGGATGACCGGAAGGTGAAGATAGCCACTAGGTACGTGCAGCTGGCAACCATCTGTTGATTCCCCCCGCGAATGAATGCTGACCTTTGGTTTTCGCGATACTATAGTTATGCTGTTGGAAAAATCGCTGTCCATGACTTTCCCGAACAATGGACCAATCTCCTCCCCACCGTGTTGGGCGTAATCTCCACCGGCACCGACGCACAGCTACACGGAGCTCTCAAGGTTCTTGGTGACCTTGTTGAAGAGAGTTTGAGTCAGGAGCAGTTCTTCACGATGGCTAGGGACATCGCCAAGACACTTACTGAAGTTGCACTGAACGAAAACCGAAAACCGCTTCTGCGTTCGCTCGCTATTTCCGTCTTCCGAGGCTGTTTCAACATTCTGGAAATGATAAAGGGGGATCACGGGGATCAGGTCAAGCCGTTCGCCGAGGAATTGCTCCAGCAGTGGAACCCCTTCTTCTTGACTGTGCTCAAGAGCCGATTGCCCGAGGCTGATCTGAGCTCTGGCCAGCCTTCCAGCTGGAACAGTGTAATTTCGCTCAAGGTCCAGGTGGTCAAGACTCTTTCCGACATTCGAAAAGGATTCCCCGCCCTTCTTCTTCCACACAGCACAGCTCTGTTCACTGCAGTCTGGGAGGAACTCAGCCTTTTCCAAGCGCCTTATACTGAACTTTACATCCAGAGTGACGCCCAGGGACGCTTGGAAGATTCAGATGGTTTGCCCTATACTTTGGACTTTCTCATTCTTGAGGAGATTGACTTCCTCAGCCGCTGTTTCCGTGCAGCGCCTGTCCGTGCCGAGCTGGACGGACAGCTCAACGCTCACGCATCGGCCGAGCAGGTTCCTTGGATGATGGAGATTATGAGAATGCTCGTCAGCTACTCCTCTGTGACCAGGGAAGAGGAAGAGCTTTGGGATATCGATTGCTCCTTATTCCTGGCCGAGGAAACTTCTGTTACTGCCAACTACACCGCCCGTGTCGCAGCTAGTGACTTGTTGATCAAGATGGGCGAGTGGTTTGGCCAAAAGACAATCGACGGCCTCTTTGGCTACACAAAGACACTTTTCCCTGCCGATGGCTCAAACTGGCGCAGCCAAGAAGCTGCCCTCTACCTGTTTGTGATGCTTGCCAGCGATTTCCACGACACTGGAGTCCCTATCCCGGACCCCGTCTCGGCCGCATACCTTGAGTTGATCGACTTTGCAATTAGTCGCCCCAAGGAGGCTCTATTACGTGCTCGGGGTTTCCTTGTTGCAGGAATGCTTTGCCGTGCATATGAGGCGCCGCCCACTCTTCTCAACCGCGTCATCGAGTCTATTACTGGCGAAGAGGCCGAGGTTGTCCAGGTTTCTTGCATCAAGGCCATTGAGGGGCTTATGAATGCCAACAAGATTACTGTTGATCGACAGATCTCCATCATCTCCGCCATCCAAAATTACATGAATGGAAAGGACCCTGCTGAGATGGAGGATGCTGACGAGCTGTTGGTTACCCTCAGTGAGGCACTGCGCGCTGCCATCCGCCTGAACTGTCAAATTGCCCTGTCCAACGACATCCCCTCTATTGATCTTTTATTTGTTCTTGCCAAGATTGGAGCTTCCAACCTCCAGGTCACAATAATGTTGTCTGAAGCCATTGAAGAAATCGTTCGCAGCCTTTCTGACAAGGATTCGTTTGCGGCACTTTGCCAGAAAATCATACCCACTCTGACAGGTGCCTTTGATGTGGCCAATTTGACAGAGGATGATCCTCTCGTTACGGTTCGTCGAGTTTTCTCCTCTATTAATTTTTACGGTTACTATTTCTTTGAGCGTGGGCTAATTCGTTTCTCAGGTTGCCGTTGAGCTCCTCTCAGTGCTCGTGAGGTACGGATCATCACCTTTGCCCGCTGGCTTTGTGGCGGCCACGTTCCCCAAGCTCACTCGACTCTTGATGGAGTCTACCGAGGGTGATGTCCTGCGACCTGGCGCGGAGGCTGTCAAATGGATTCTCGTCCACGATCACCAGCAGCTGTTTGAGTGGCAAGATGCAAACGGACGATCTGGCTTGGAAGTGTGTCTCCATATCATTGACCGACTCCTTGGCCCGTCAATGAGTGATAATGATGCAGCTGAAGTTGGCGGACTCGCAGCAGAACTAGTGGAGAAGGCGGGACAGGAACGACTTGGGCCATTCCTACCTCAGTTGTTGCAAGCCGTGGTCAACAGACTTGCGTCGGCACAACAGGTTACTCTCATCCAGTCACTCTGTTTAGTCTTTGTTGGGCTCTCTATCCACGGGGCTTCCGACGTTCTCGAATTTCTTAGTCAAACCCAAACCAACGGCAAGAGTGGCTTGCAAGTCGTTATGGAGTTGTGGCTTGAGAATACCACTGCCTTTGCTGGTTATGACGAGATACGACAGAAGTAAGATTATCTGCGCTTCGATAACAACCAGCTTGCTAACCGTAATTAGTGTTACCGCTCTCTCCAAGATCTATAGCCTTAATGATCCTCGCTTAGCTCAGATATCTGTCAAGGGCGAGCTTATTATGAACGACGATGGGCGAATCAAGACCCGTTCACGGGCAAGACAGAGTATGTATTACGCCCGAGATCCTCTTTTTGATCCAAAGGGCCGAAATTTGCTTCTTTCGTGTGGATGTATCTGTCATGACCAGACCCGGCTAACCTCGTGCATTCCCTACAGACCCAGACCAGTACACAATCATCCCAGCACCACTTAAAATCATCAAGTTGCTTATCGATGAGCTCTTCTCTGCATCTGGTGCTCGAGCTGCAGCAGACGCCGCCTCTGCTGCTATTGCAAATGCTGACTACCCCGAGGATGACGATGATGAAGGATGGGAGAACGAGGATGAAACCCTCGACCTTGGTCTCATGTCGGTCAAGGGCGATCTTATGGCCTTTATCGAAGGCTCAGGACAGCGTGAACCCGACGATGAGACCCAAGGTTTCCTGGTTGACTTTTTCATCCGCTGTGGCCGCGAAAATATCAGCAACTTCCAGGACTGGTACGGCATGCTGACGCAAGACGAGCAGGCTAAGCTCAACCAGCTTGCGAGCTCGGCTGGACAATAGAGAGATCCAACTGTCCCGCGAACAATGCCCTGGGACTAACCTCTCTTCATTTGACCTAGAGGAGACTATACTGGGTAATACCTGTTCCACACTACGGATGGGAATATGGCAGAAATGAGGCCCAACAATTTGTTTGCATGGAACCCCAAGTAGCCCCGCTGCGATACACTACACCTATTGCTCTTACTTCAACCCCCTCCCCTCGCTCTTCCACAACGGGGGACCACTTCGACTTTCTGCCAGATTGGCGTTATAATAGCATCCAGCTTATCCTTCTAGATAGATATATGTGAGACACCGAGCCTCCCATGAATGAGGCCTCGGCGCAAGTGTGACATGAATAAAGAAAAACAAGTTTCAATACAAGACTGCTCCTTAATCGCCATTGAATTCTCTGATATATACATTTCCCATGAAACCCTCGTATAGGACCATGTAGCAAACGAAGCATGAAGACCCTGCTCTGTCGGCCGTATGTAGTCGGTCTCCCCTGTATGTAAAGTGGAGTTGGTTAGTTGTTGTCAAGGTAGTCATTTCTACGGAAAGTCTACGGCGATGCACATTTCACTGACGGGTGATTGAGAGCAATGTGATAATATTGCAGCCTCCCAGAATCCCAGCCCCCGCGTTTCATCATGATTGGATTAAAGTACACTTTGGAAAGGAAGAAGTGCAGCCTAGTGATACATGAAAAGTAAACCATATCTCATTGAGTCGTAACATTGGTATTAAGTGATTGAATAATTAGATGATTCCACCGCCCCCGGGCCCTCCGAACCCGCCGAACGGGTTGTGCCCGCCTCCGCCGGAGCCAGGAAACCGAGGGTGGTTGGGGCTAACAGGATCCCATCTTGCGCCCGGCGGTACTTGCGGATCGTATGACCCTTCGTCCGGATCTCCACGGAAGCCTCCCCTGGATCCGCCGAAGAGGGGGTCGTCGAATGTGGGATGCATGCCGGAGCTGCCGCCGGGTCGTGGGAGGCCACCGCCCCCGACGAAGGAGCCTCTGAGGGGGTCTTGGGGGCCGAGACCTGGTGGGTTGAGGTCGTCGCGGCCGATGTTGAAGGGGGAGACGCCGCCGGGCATGACTAGGCCGCGGCCCGGGCGGTTGATCTCATGTTCGTCTTCGAAGCCCGGAGGAGGAAAGTCGCCGACCGGGACTGGAGGTCTGGGGCGAGCGGCTTCGGGGAGAAGACCCGGGCGCGGATACGGGACGCTGGGCTGGGAGGGATCGGAGAATGGGCCCACGTTGGGCGGCCTCCGTTCTTCCCGTAGTCGCTCATTTGCCTCGGCGCGGTCGGTGCTGCGGTCGTTCTCGTCAAGGCTGGGATACAGCTTCTGGATAATTTCGGTCATGACGGCGTCAAGTACGGCTGTGGTGGGGTTAGTCAAAGGTGCGCCTGATGAGATAAAGTCGGGCAGAGCAGGTGACGTACATTTGATTGCGTCTTCGGACACGAAGACCTTGTTAAGCTTCTCGGGGAGGTCGCTTCGGTCCTCGACGGCGTCTGTCATTGTGATTTTCACAGGGAGGCCTTTCGAGTTGACGATGTCTCTGATGGGGCGCTCGAAGCCGTGGATTTTGTCGTGCCCGATGGCGAATCCGCGGACGCTCACTTTTGTGCTCATGCGGTCGATGCGTAGGAGTAAATCCATGGACGACATTTTGTGCTTGTAGGCGAAGCTGAGCGATCCGAATCCGTTGTTCCATTGGGGCGGGAGGCGTGGGGCAAGAGATTCTGCTTCGGCTGGGGGGGATGTCAGCAACAAGCGCCAAGCTGGGGATTTATACGCAGAAAGGGTAGGAATGACATACGCAGAGGCTTTTCCTCGTCGAACCCGAAGAGCCGGAAGCCCAGGGAGGCGAGATGGGCGTGAACTAACAGAGCCACGGCCTCGTAGGAGCTGGCTAGGTCGGAGCTCTCGTCGCCCTTCTGATGGGTGGGCAGGGCGTCTGCCATGCCCTGCACGATTGCAGCATTGCTCGTCATATTGGGGGACTGATGGGTTCCGTAGCTGCGCAGTGGATTTGTAGAAGATATGTTGTGGAAATGGAATGATGGGAAAGGGAGACGTTGTGGCAAGAAATTGGGTGGGAGCTCTTGGTATTAGTATCATAGATTAGTGGGGGTGGCGTCATTGCGCTTGCCTTGGAGCCTCAAGTTCGCAGCCTAAATTGGGGCTGTGGTCAACTCTACTTGCTACCTGAGTGGCCATTTAGCTCCGGGCTTGCACTTTACTCTTCCTTTAGGTGTAAAACTGCATAGTACCTTACTCCCCTAACATCAGCGGCGGATAGAAGACGAGAATCATTCTTCTGTGCCCTCATGGCTGTTTCGCATTGATTTGTACTTAAGGTAGGTAGGTGGGCAAAGCAGGTGGGGTGGTGGAACGCGGGGTATTAATTGGTGCTAGGCTCAGGTGGGTGGGGACCCTGTCAACCACCTGGCGACATTGAGACACCCATATTGCACTGCTTATTATTGTCTAGTTGCGACCAGTACCATGAGATTATCGAGGGCCAATAATAAATACCAAAGAGGCAATACACTAATTTTTGAACCACCGTATTATTTCATTATTACGGAAAACTGTCTCCCTTTAATCTAATGCCTCATTTCTTCTATCACCCAGTTGCTTGTTTGGCCAATGTAGCCGGGCTCTCTCATGGCTCCGGGAAGCCCCTCAGGGTCGTGGTTGCCCTGCTCAGCCTCAGGTTGAGGTCAGCCACCCGTGGAAGGCAGAATCTATGCAGCCCAACCTGGCAAGGACGATTGGGCAGCTTTAGGCTGACATTGAGCTCCCCTCTCCAGTCGTCCTGTCTGAATTAGCCTCACGCATACCGCCGTATATCACATGTTCGAATACCTGTTTTTGCTACTCAGTGCTGTGCAGTCATGGGTTTCTAGTTCCAATCCTGGGCCTCTCAGTTTTCTTGCCATGATCGCTACTTCCGGCACGTATTAAACTTTAGTGACCTCTCTGTCATACATCAATAAGCACCATGAGACTACTCAATGCTCATACGCTCAAGCTGGAGCTCTTCCACGCCTCGACTCCGCAGAAAATTCAATATGCCACGCTGTCACACACGTGGGGGGAAGATGAGGTTAGCTTCGGCGACATGGAAAATCCTGCAGCTGCGGAACAGAAGTTAGGATTCGCAAAGATACGCTCGGCGTGCGAAACGACCATCTCCTATGGCCTGAGATATGTCTGGGTGGACACATGCTGTATAGACAAATCATCTAGTGCAGAGCTCTCTGAGGCCATCAACTCCATGTTCCGCTGGTATAAGAACTCGGCTTTCTGCTTCGCATATCTTTCTGATTTACGACCAGGCCAGACCGTTGACCAATCTGCTCTTGGGACGTGCAAATGGTTCAGTAGAGGGTGGACTTTACAGGAGCTCATCGCTCCTAAGGAGTTGGTCTTTTTTGACCAAACTTGGAACCGCATCGGAACTAAATCTGATCTTAAGATCGAAATTGAGAGTATCACTGGCATTAACCACCAGATACTGGATCGATCCTGTCGTCTTTCATCCGTTGCGATTGCGAAACGGATGTCTTGGGCCTCCCATCGGGAGACAACCCGTGTTGAAGACAAGGCCTATTCTCTGCTGGGACTTTTCGATATTAACATGCCGATGATATATGGCGAGGGGCCTAGAGCCTTCATTCGACTACAAGAGGAAATTTTGCGCATGACGACTGATTTATCCATATTCGCATGGCGCTCCGCCCCCAACTCTTCAAGTTACCGGGGTATACTTGCAGAATCTCCCGCCGAGTTCCGGCTCTGTGGCTCTATTGAACTCAATACAGATCAATTTCGATTCCGTGACGAAATTAGTCTTACAAACAAGGGCGTGAAGATCCATACAGCAATAACCCGTATGGAGGAGACTGACATGTTCATGCTGGATCTACATTGTTACGATATGGCGTCGCAAACGTCCCCAGAACGTTTGGGTATTTATTTGGAGAGAGAATTGGACACATTTTATCGAAAGTTGCCTTCGGCTCTTTCTACAATGGAGTCAACGTTTGCGGCTCAGGCCCCTCGCACTATATATCTTGCACGAACCTTGACAGAAAGGATGGCGGAACTCGTTTATGGATTTAGAGAGTTACGAATCAAGTTTAGCTTTGATGAAGCCTCAAGGGGCTCTTACACCGTCGAGAACCTACTGGCCGTTCCAGAATTATTCTGGGACCAACCTGGACAGTGCTTTTATCTTCCAAGATTTTCTAACTTCCTAGGTTTTGCACGTTTCTGTATCACTCCCGACGATCGTTATTCTAGTCTAGCACCAAAGTCTTTGCTCCTGGTTTGCAATAGGATTTATGGCGGACAATTACATCTGGATTTTCGCGAGGAATGTCAGTTCCAAAGTGAATACGGGGACGGGCAATGGCAAAAAACTATCAACCCCTTTACCAACATTGAAGACTACGGCCCTCTTGGGGACCCCTTTAGTCTTAACGCCATATGCCCCGGAGAGAGGGAAGGCGGGGGCAGGTCGGCAACAATTCTTTTACGCGACTACGTTCTTCGAGCTGATATGGACAAGTCGGATGGACAGCACTTGAGAATTAATGTTCATATTGAAGTAATCCAGACCCCCTGATCACTGTATGAAGTACTTTGGACCTGCAACGTTAAGGATTAGCACCCGGTCAAGTTTCTGACTCATCTATATGAGTTGAAACGCTGATATTTTGGGGCGGGCCTCTAGGTTTGTAGCCTACTTTGTTTTTGAACTGTCAAGTTCTACACAGCTTCTTTTATATTAGGCTTCGTCTGTACCTAGGAAAGGATTTTGCATTCAGAAATTGTTTGGATTTCTCAGGAGGATACCTTACAAGATAAATATCAATTTATTTCGTATTGTAAAAGGGCGGTATTTACAAACGTGATGATGACTGGCATGAGTGTATGGTTTAGACCGGTTTGCTCGTTGGCATAACCTCTCCACGGCTGTTGTGTAAAATGGTTGGGGAACCTGCCAGTATTGAATGAGAGTCGTCGGTGCTATGCTGTCATCAAGGGTACGAAATATGCTACACGAGGTTTCAAAGGTCGATCCTAGAAAGACCGAACGTATTTTATGGCTGGCTAGTCTAGTTGGCTTGCCAATGAAAGCACGGCTTGGAGGCGTAGAACCTCATGCAAATACATCTGAAGGGTCATCTCGTGAAACTTCATAAAAGAAAAATGTACTGTGAATATCTAACTTCGTATTCTGGAGCACTTCAGGGTCGATATGAAAAAAACTTGGACCACAAGAATAGATACCCCGACCTCATCTGTCGAAATCACTCCATCCTCCTATCTTGGCACTGCTCTCGGCGTGTCGCTCTGCTCTTCTAGTAAGCTCCATCCTGGCATAACGATACTCACTTTACGTAGCTTCATTCTCCAATCTCGTACACTCGCCAAAAAAAGCATTAGTATAAGTTGAAAACCGTCTCGTCCACCTTGTCGCGGCGCATCAGCTCGCCGCCCATGACGCCGTGGACGTACGCCGTCCCGATGACGACGTAGCCGCCCCCCTCGGCGCCCCTGGGCCTCAGCACGACGCACCGCTTGGAGCCGTACAGCACCACGACGAGGTCGCCCCTCTGCGCGCCGTACGGGCCCAGGCCCATGAACTTCCTGGACGTGGTGGTGAAGAAGGTCCGGTTGTGGATGCAGTTGCTCATGTGGCGCATGAACCTCACCCTGGCGTCGATGGAGGGGCCCCGCGAGGGCGAGGAGTTGCTGTAGTCGAGCATGTTGAGCTCCTTCTTGTTGAACCACGACTTGATCTTGTGGAACCAGACGTCCTTCTTGCTCGGGGACTGGCCGCGCTTGCTGAAGGCGAGCAGGCTGCCGACGCGGAACGAGTCCGGCGCGAGGCCCGGGGGCCAGCGGTCGTCGACGTTGAGGGTCAGGGTCCGCCAGAAGGTCTCGTACTCTGGCGTGCCGTCGTTGATGCGGGCCGCGAATTCCTGCAGCGGTGTGAAGATGGTGTCGATGAACCTCTGGCCGGCATCGTTGCCGGCGTTTATCTTCGTGGAGGGCTGCGGCGCCGACTCGTCGGATTTGGAGGGGCCGATGATGGACTCGAGCTCCCCGATGACTATGCCCCGGGCGCGCATCATCGGGGGGGTCTCGCCGTTGTTCTGGTACGGCTGGAAGATCTCGACGTCGGCGCCCTTGCCGTACCCGGCCCGGAAGCGGGTGTCGACCCCCATCCTCTCCCACTCGCTGTAGGCCTGCTGCTCGGCGCGGATCTCCGGTGTCCAGCCCGGCAGTCCGGAGGCGCACGGGTCCAGGCGATTCGAAAATATCACATCCAGCGTGCCTTCTCTCTCCACCCAGTTCTGGACGTGGTTTATCAGCGTGGCACTGGTGGACCTCCGATAGTCGGGCCTCAGAGCCTGCGCTGAGGGTATGAGACCGAGGAGGGCATACAGCTTGTCACGGGGGTCGGTGGCCTTGAGCCTACTCGTGAGATAGAGCAGTTTCAGAATGTCCAGCTCCTCGCGATGCAGCCGCGTCAACAGCTCGGTCATGACGAGCCCGGGCGGCTCGGTGCTGCCCTGCTCCGTGAAGGACTTGAAGGGCTCGAGGTAGGCGCCCGAGTCGGCCTCCTGCTTGAGCCCTCTTACCAGGATAGCACGGACCTGCTCGAGGACGATCTGCAGGTTGTGGAAGGACGTCATGTGGGTGCCGCACTGGACGATGCAGGGCTTGTTGCGGCCCTTCCAGTGGCCGGCCGTGGCCAGCTCCTGCAGCACCCACATGCGCGACCAGTACGGGCGGTGCAGGTGGCGCCACAGCGAGGGCCAGTTCTGCCTCTCGAGCGGGTAGCCGAGGCGGGCGAAGACCTCGGACTGGCGCTCGCGCGTGCCGGTGGCGCGGGACTGCCAGTTGTCGTCCTTGGACCACATGTTCTTGAGGAAGTTGGCGAAGGAGTCGATGAGGCTCATGGCGGCGGCGCTCTCGGCGTCGGCCTCGCCCAGCCAGGCGACGACGACCTTGGACTGCTGGTAGATGTCGTACATGATGCGGACCTGGGCCTCCTTCTCGTCCGGGTCGGCCTGGTTGATGCACAGGGCGTCCACCCACAGGTAGCGCACCGACCGCTCCTTGCGCAGCTGGCGCAGGGCGACCTCGAGGTTCGCAGTGACATGGACGCGGGCGCCGTCGACGCAGACCGGGCGCCTGGCTGGGCCGTCCCCCCACACATAGGAGAGGGCCTCGTAGGGGCGGTAGTAGTCAAAGCGCGCGGTGGACAGGCGGCACTGGATCTCGGTGTGGACGGCGCCGGGCTGGAGCTCCAGGATGCGGATCTCATTTGGGAGGAGGGGTTTGTAGATGGCGGGCTCGGTTATGAGCTCATTCTGGGGCGGAGGAGGAGGGGGAGGAGGGGTGGTGGTGGTGATGTGGTGGTCGGGCTGGCGAGGCTGCGCGGCCATGGTCGGAGAGGAGAGTGCAGGCGGTCGCGGCTGGGGACAAGACCATTACCCTAGATGCTGGCGTGGAATGGCCTGGATTCCGACATCTCATTTTCGATGGCTTGGAGAAGCGACGTATGTGGTTTTTGCGATCTGCACCCGTCAGCTAGCGCTGGCACCCCTGCGGCCTTCTATATTGGGCATTGCTGACGCCGTTGCTCCAGCATGCGAGTGTCGTCATTATGCGCCGCCCACTAGAGCATGGATACGTACATAGTCATGCAGTAGTCGAGAAGGTCTGAGTCTTCTGTGCCCCGCACCATCTAGGCCATCTGGTGGTGCCACTGCCATCTGGTGGTGCCACTGCCATCATGGTGGTGAGCGAATGGTGATGCTCCAGCTTCCCGCAACGGGAGTCTAGAACGCCACCAGGTTGCACAACGGTCCCTGATCGGCCCGCCTCGATCCAGCCGTTTTGCTTGGACCCTCCCGCCAGTAGCTAAAATGCACCTGCGCTGCTGCACGAGGGCAGGTGGAACGTGCACGACCTAGAGCCTAAGATCGTCCTTCATCATCTGCATCCAGCAATAAATGGATCGTCATTAGCTTCACATCTCAAGTCTCTAATATGGAGCTCATCGTCGACACGACAGGACCGAGGAGAAGAAAGGATCAGGGGAAAATGGAATGTTACATGTTTTGGCCTCTAGGAGATAGTGTCTATATGGGTTGCACAGGTTTCCACAACTGACAACTGTATACAAATGAAAAATCCCATCACGGCGAAAATATGTGTTTATTAGTGTTGAGGGTTAGCTATGCAGGACGCACTCTTGAAGATAGAAGGAATCTCGCGGCTTGCACCGGCCGATTCTCAAATCGAGGATGATTTGGGTCGGAATTATGATGGTATATAGACACTTTCCGAATTCTCATCCTTATCTCAATGATAGGGATAGGGACGAGACGAATTCTTAGTTCTTAAGAGAGAAACTGTGGATTTTACGAAGTGATCTTTGTGAAAGAGAATCGGACTTGACATGGACCCTTATGTGAAGATGAGCTTTTTTTCTGCTATGCCCACTAGCCTTATGGTGATACTGGAGCGAGTCTAAATGGACTTACTTGATCCGGTATGTTAAAGTAGGTGCGCCTTTGGTGTTGGAAAGTCCTTAGTACCTATGCTAGATGCTTCTAGATCTCGTCACACACAACGGGTGTTCCGTAGATTTCCAGGATCCTGACCCCTGAGCTGTCCCCTACGACCTGCCAAGTTTGCATCGCATGAACCATGGATCTAGATGACTAGTGTCGGCATTATTTGAACGAGCGGCGGGAATCCCGTGACGGCTTTCCAGCACGGTCGTCAAATTTCAGGTCCCTTTGGACCGTTGGATGCTCAACGCAAACTGATCCCTTGAGCAACCTCCCGGTGTGCGTTGATTTCTTCACTGCAAAACCCTCTCATATTTAATTCCGGCATCAAGAAAGTTGGAAACCAGTATATCCTGGAGTCATTCAACATTGTTGTTATTGTGCGTCGTCGTCGTTTTGTCACGCCTTCCAGCCATTCTAATAAGAGGGCGATTGTGTAATTCCGGAACCTCAAGTTCTAAGTCGCCCATTTATCACCAAGCACACTACCGGGCAGGTTTAATACTACTATATCTAACCTGATTCAGTAAAGCTAATCAGGATGCAAACATAACGACTTCCTTCACATCCCCTTGTAGCAACACTGACCCACCCGACGATGAACACTCCATCTTTTCCAGTCACATAGGCAGCTTTAGAAACTGAAACTAACCTGCTGTGCTTATGTGGCCTGAATATTAGTGTGTTCTTATTGTGCCATAATAACTATAGCAACAAGATACATGTAGCTTAATATTGCTGAACCAGGTTGGATATGGCAAAAATACGGAGACAATGTCGTAGGGGCAAACTTGCCCGACACTAGCTAGGACAAGGGACTTAACTAAGAATCCTAGGCGTATCTATGTTTATCTGATTCATTCTTTTCTTCGTAGTCTGGTGGGAGGATCGTAACCTGCCACTCGTGCATTGACGCCCCACCACTGATCTGTTTTGACAGCTCTGGGCCAAGGGTATTTCATTGGCCATGATCTGTTAATTAGTGAGGTTCCATGCCTCGCTGAGTGCAGATTGCGATCTTTACCTCTTCTTGCGTGGAACCTGCTTGCCACCCATTTGAAACCAAGGAACCACTTTGTGATTCCCCCAATCCTCTCAACCTTGTGGGCGCTTGTGTACGTCAACATAAGAGTCAAAGAAACAACCTAGCAAAATTACCATTAGAATGATTGTTCATTTAGCCTCTGGTGGCCTCTTTTGTTATGGTTCATTCTTGTGCATGTGCAGCACACATGTTTAAAAAGAGGAACTCTCATATATTACGCCCGGGAGAACAAAAAGAGAATAAATTCTAGGAAGTCGATAGTAGTTCACAGGATGGCTTTATCGATGGATCGCAAAACTCTATTGGCTACAAGAGCCGGAGGAGTGGTTCCCCTGTTCTGCTAAGTTGTGTTATAGCTAGGATTGAAACTAGAGCGTCTAGACTAGCCCCGTTCAAACCGAGGTCGGGAGCTTTGTATGAGCCGGCGGTCCCTGCTATATCGTCATTGGCGGAATAGCGAGTGATGGAATATGTGACCTAGAGGGAATCAAACAAGCGGTGATCAAACCGAGGCCCGGATATGCCTACTCTTATACAATTGGAGGAATCGCGAGGTCGAAAAAGAAGAAACTCATGGCACTAATGCCCTACATTGCTATGTATGTATCGCAAGTTACCAAACCCGAATATGTGGCATAAATAGCTGTAGTCTGTCCCTCCATGATTTGTCCTGATCACTGTAGTTCTTTGGTCTTTATTGACCCTACCAATTCTTGACTAAATAACCATGTCAGTAGAGACAACATTGGCTCGGCATGAGCCAAAATCTCAGGTCTCATCGCCTAGCGCAGGCCAAGTAAGTGACTTGAACCAAACACCTTGCTGAATGCATACAGCGTCACCAAAGGCAAACTGTATTAACTTGAACAAGAAAAAGTCTAGAGGTATTGGCTTCCATATGTGGACACTCTTCCTCTTCACCAAGAGCGACTTCAAAACCATGACGATACCCCAAAGCATCTTCGCCATTGCTGCCGCATACGCACCTCCAGCGGTCAAATGCGTCAGATCCTTCGATTCCAGCACTCCCCCCGACCTGGGATACTTATCGACCCACATCCCGCGTATGCTATTCTGGCTCTGGCTCAACTGCGCTCTCCATGATATCGCCAACCAAAGCCTGCCAGACTCAGTCGTGGAGGACGCAGTCAACAAGCCGTGGCGACCCATTCCCTCGGGACGAATCTCCAGATCGCAAGCACGATCGTGGCTTCTCGCCATCATCCCGCTCTCTCTAGCGGTATCACTCATGTTCGGAGCACTGATGCCGATGACGATGCTCGTGGTGTTTGTCTGGATGTACAACGACCTCGAGGGCAGCAGCGCCAGCATCTGGATGCGAAACGCCCTCAACGGCACCGGACTCATGAGTTTCGGGTGCGGTGCGCTCACGGTGCTGGTCGGAAGCGAGGGCAACCTGCTTCCCAAAGCCTACAACTGGCTCTTCCTGACTGGGCTCATTGTGTCTACCACAGTCCAGAGCCAGGATCTCCCAGACCTGGAAGGAGATAAAGCGAGAGGGCGCCAGACGATCCCAATTGTATACGGGGAGAGTGTTGCCAGGTGGAGCGTCGCGAGCATGGTCCTCCTTTGGTCGGTTCTCGGGCCCTGGTTCTGGGCTACCGAAACCACATCCATCTGGTTTTGGGCTCCCTTGATTTTGCTCGGTGTAGCGCTTGCAAGCTTGGCGTTGGCGAGATGGGGTCAGAAGTGGGATGAGGTAGTGTTGCAGCTGTGGTGCTTGTGGCTGCTTGTTATTTACCTTTCGCCTGCTCTCGCGTCCTGGGCGTGATTTCATTGAACAAAGATGGCATATATATCGCATAGAGAGAGATAGAAGCATCTACTAAATATCAGGACCCTTGAATTATGTTAAATAGAGAATGTGCTTCGTTCGTTACGTATTCAACTGAACGCAGTTCCATTCCCTGCCTCCTAAAACCAGCGTGTAATTGGGTATCATATAAAATGAAGCTGCAAGATTGCTCTTCGAAAACTTGTCACATTAGATATTCGAAGACTACTTTAAGCTATGACTTCTACTAGCAGTCTATTCACCAACGGGGAAGATCGCATCATCTTGTCAGTTGAAGAATTCAACATTAATGGGCCGGAGGAGCCCTATAGGATCGACCGCAAAACTAGGCAAGAGACTCAATTATTCATGACCCAAAAGCCCTTGGAGGCTTGATGGTTATAAAAAAAACACCCCGAAAGTTACACGCGAAAGCCACCATCGAATTTATCACACATGGGTAAAGAGACCGATATGCCGACGGCAACCACAGAACATTGCGAGAGTTGCAAGTCGCCCACTTGCCGTCCACGCTTACTCCAATATCGCAGCGTTCAGCTTGCAGATCAGCAACGGTCCCTGACCCCGACGGTGCTATATATTCTGCAAGGGTAAATTCAGCTATACTTGTGCAAATCTTCGAACCATCTGCGCTGAATTTGAAATATAGTTTTGCTGCCAGATAGCAGTCAATGGTCGCTACACAAGCGCCAGTCGCCGTGTCCCAGAGTTTTATAGTTTCGTCACCTGAGCCTGATGCAAGCCAGTTTGAGTCCGGCGAGAGTGCAAGCCTGGCAATAGGCATGATGTGGCCCCGGAGTGTTGCTGTGCATGCGCCTGTCATATCCCATAACTTTATCGTTTTATCATCTGAGCCTGATGCAAGCCATTTTGAGTCCGAGGAGATTTCAATCGCGCGGACACTCTCATTATGACCCATGAGTGTAGCTGTGCGGGCGCCCGTATTATTCCACAACCTTACTACACCATCATCTAGCCCTGAAGCAAACCACTTTGAATTCGGTGAGATTCTTATAGGGGCAAGGTAATCAATGCAGCCTTCGATAGTTGCCAGGCAGGTAGCTGTCCCTAAATCCCAGAGCTTTATAGTGCGATCTTCTGAGCTTGAGGCAAGCCAGCTTGAATCAGGAGAGATTTCAATTTGAGTAACCTCGGCGTGGTGGCCCTGAAGTGTTGCTCTATAGGCCCCAGCAATATCCCAAAGTCTTATAGTTGAATCAACCGATCCTGAGGCAAGCCATTTTGAGTCCTGAGAGAATTTAATACAGGAAACAATGTCTTTGTGGCCCTCAAATACATTTAGACAGGTACCTGTCATATCCCATGACCTTATTATATTATCGGATGACCTTGTTGCAAGGCACCTTGAGTCTGAGGAGATTTCCATAATAGATATACCAGCACCGTGTTTTTCAGGTGTCTCAATATAAGTGCCTATCGTATCCCATAACTCTATAGTGTTGGTAGTTGATCCTGATGCAAGTCGGTTCGAGTCGGGGGAGAAAGCGATCGAATAGGATATGCTGCTTTGGTTTTTATATGTTGTTTTACAGACGCCTGTCTCTATATCCCATAGCCTTATAGATTCACCAGCAGAACTTGATGCAAGCCAGTTTGAGCCAGGAGAGAATGCAACCGTGAGGATATATTCATCATGGCCCTTAAATGTTGTGATACAGGTAGCTGTTTCTATATCCCAGAGCTTTGCAGTCTTATCATGAGAACCCGATGCAAGCCAGTTTGAGTTCGACGAGAACGCAATAGAGCAAACCCAGTCACTATGGCCTTCGAATGTTGCTATATTAATGCCAGTTTCGATATCCCATAGTTTTATCGTTCGATCCTTTGAACCTGATGCAAGGCGGTTTGAATCAGTTGAAAACGAAATCGTTTGGACTTCGCCACTATGGCCCTCAAACGATACGGTCTCGTGGCTTGGGCCGATTTTCCACAACTTTAATGTCGGGTCGAATCGCCCTGAGCATGAGAGCCAACGTAGATCGGATGAGAAAGCAGCTTCATACATGGAGAAATCGGTCTTAAAAGTTGCGATGCAAGCGCCCGTTGTCGTATCCCAGAGCTTGAAAGTTCCATCGCTTGACACTGATGCAATCTGACCCGAGTCTGGTGAGGACGCGATAGCACAGATCATTCCACTATGTCCCTTGAGTGTTGTCCTCAGGGCACCTGTTCTTGCATCCCACAATTTGACCGTATGATCTTCTGAACCCGATGCAAGCCAGCTCGAGTCTGGCGAGAATATAACGGTCTCAACGGAACCGTAGTGACCCTCGAGCGTTGCTAGACATGCGCCCCAGCTGGACTCTACCGGTGGTGGCGACGATATCCAGTTTGGAAATAAATGGCTGAAAGTCTTTCGGACAATGCTTTGATGAGGTGCAAATACAGTTACTGTATAGTAGATTTGAAGAGGCCAGCAATCAACGGCTGATCCATAGCTAAATATAACGCTTTGTGTATCGCGAAGAAAGGGTTCTATTTCACAGCTATTTGAAGCCTGGAAAGTTGGTCAGTTCCTCTGTCAATAGAGTATTATGCATTCACTTACATGAAGCAGTTCCACCAAATCGTTGATCATGAGCAGACTCTCTGACATATTGCCTAAGAGACTCAAAGCTTCAAGCCAATAAAGGAGATGAGAAGTTAGAAATCGGTGAACCTGGTCGTCATCCTCTATCGTTTGCTTGCTCTCCTTCCAGTGGAAGGCCCAGTAGCGGCATGCATACTGCACTTCAGGCGGCAAGCAGGCATCAATGGTCTCCTGATCGACCTCGGTTCGAGAAGTTCCTGGGTGATTTAGGTTGCAGATATCTTGCTTGAGGGTGTTTCCCGTAGAAAGTAGTCTTAGACAGTCGAGTGCTAACTGGGAATGAGTCTGGTGCCCGTCAATCCAGAACGGAAACTCTTCTGGCCTCCCACCTTTCTCAGAATCGACGAGAAAGTCGCGGAAGGATAGATGGAGCAACTGTACTGGTTTATTGGGATCCGGGGGTATTCGTAGGACAGAGTGAAGGTAGTCTAGCTGGTCTTCGATGGTTTCTACCGGGGTATTCAGGAGCCGAGCGAGCGAATACGACGACAGAGGACTACCAAGGATAACAATAGAGCCAACAATTCTCTTAAATCTCCCTACTACCTCTTTCTTCTGTAATTCGTTCAACCCTCCAAAAAGTCGATCAAGAACGGGAAGATAGGTTGCGTCGAGTTGAGATTTCCGATCTCCCTGGCGCTCGAGAATTCTTTCTAGCTGGTCTCTTGGGCCACCGAGCCTTCGATCCTGGATAAAGCGGCAGACTGTGGCGGCAAAAATGAACAGAGGAATAGCCATCTCAACAAGCCTCCGGATTTTCTCCGGTTCAGGCCAGCTAGGTGGCAACGGCCGATTTGGCCGCGCTTTGTTGTAATCCAGCCGGATACCAGCAAGTTCGTGCTGCAGGAAAACCGTTATATCATTTTTGATAATAGGTTTAGGGATCTCTTGCAAAACTAGATCTGTGTACTCGCCGGAAATGTCCTTAAAACCAAGCTGGATAGGCAGCTCAGGCCTGCTGGTGACAAAAGCCTTGAGGCAAATGCGTGAGAAACCCTTCACCTGGGATAGTAGGTGAATAATTCTCTTCACTTCGTCAATGTAATCACACTCGTCAAGTGCATCAACAACTATGACCAGAGTTTGCCGCTGCGAGGGTTTGGGGAGCTGCTTTATCGGCTTGACGATGAGACTGTCGAACTGATCGCTGAGGGCCTTGGTATTGATAGAAGGATCGGCCTCGACCTGATTACGCACGAGCGGGGCCAATGATGGTAGCTGACGGGCAATCTGAGTAGCTATCGTGGGGAAGAAGAATGCCGCCCGACTGCGATCGCTCTCGCCACGCTTGAAGAAGAAGCTGGCACCGAGCTTGTTCTTGTCTGCAAGTTCCTGGGATATTGTTCTCGCGATCGTAGACTTTCCAGTGCCAGCCATGCCATTCAGCCAGAAAATGGTCTTACTATTGTCGGATTCAACCCAAGTGAGTACTTGGTTTATCAGATTGGTCCGAGTGCCGGGGTAGCATCTCGCGTTGTCGGCGTCGGGGTGAGCATCGAATCCTGCGCGTTCTACGGTACGTAGCTTGGTCAAGATGATTTCTTGATGAATGCTAAATAGCTGTGTTCTTGATAATCGTTTAGTAGGATGGGTTTGAGGGCCTTGGTGACAATACATACGCTTGATGGATCTGAAGATCTAGGGAGATGGATGTCCTACATCGCTCCATCTTCGTGATGATATCGGCCACTTCTCCCTTCTTGAACGGCCATTTTAGGCCCCTGACTTCCAATCCCTGCTGGAGCTTGGCAACGATGAGCTTTAAGTGCAGCCGGCAATCCTCAACGCAACTGCGTATGTTCTGTGATGCTTCGACCTTGGGACCATTTGGGCCATCGAGGAGGCGTTTGACCTCGCCCAGAGTAAGCCCCAGCCTGTCGGCTTCATTGAGAATGGATCGAACATCTCGTGGCGCAGCCTTGACGCCAGCACAATATTCGGAACACTGCACGCCAACTTTGATGAACAGATCAATAACAGTTGCCACGTTCACAGCAAGGCCGAAGACCTCAGCCATAATGACGAAGACGCCTTTTCAGAGCTTTCAGGATGGCAAGAGTGATGAGAGAAAATTTGGTGGTTACCAAATCCTACCCCGCTCGATGTGTGTAGGTGTTTCGCCAAGGCACCCTCACTCCATGCATTCTGGTTGGCCACGGCCGCAAGCCACCTTATGCAGTCAGCTCGATTTTGAGTGGCTGAGACTGAGATGGGCTTTCTGTGAGCAGACGAGTGCTCTCGGATTTGATTGCTTAAAACCTGTGCGGGGAGTTTACATGCCAGCCTGCTTCGGAGGGTTTTGTTTTCTGTAAGACGGGAACAGTAACATGATTGTCAAAAGAGGAGTTATAGTATGGATATACGAGCACAAGAAGCGCTAGATGGTTTTCATTACGTCGAGGACAAATAAGGTACAAGAAAACTCAGCATGGGAGAGAATGCCGTTAAGGGAAGAGCTGGGGGTATTCTTCTTGTAGGTATCGACTCTACTTCCAGCACTCTTCCTCGCGAGAGAAACGCCAAGGAAAATAGACACTGCCCTACACTACTGCTTTTCCTTTGGGTATTCGGAACTCGACACCGAAAAGCCCTTCTTCTCATCCTGCCTCTGTACATCGGCAAAGCTCGGCGGAGGCACGTCGTCGTCAGGTGGCGCCATCCATGACGGTGGTAAGTCGATACTTGCTGGGAGGATCGTCACCTCGTTTGACCCGCTGGCAGAGAAGGATTCATTGGCAATCTTGCAGGTGGCCTTCCAGGACAGCTTCTGGGTGGTCGTCTTGATGTTAAAGGTGGACACATTGGGAAGCGCCTTGTCACCAAGCCGCAGACGAATCGCAGTACCGATATTCGCAGGCGGTGGCTTATCGCCCGTTGTGCATGGGATCTCGACGACGTCGTTTCCAACCTCGTCATTGAGCAGTTCCACCTTCTCCGACGCATAGTCTGTGTATGGGTCGCCCGAGTCCGAGCCGACGACGTCGAACTCGTACTTCAAGCTGGCTCTGAAGCTGGCAAGCCTGGCCTTCTGGGGCGCGTTCCGGATGGACTCGCTGGTATCCGACCAATTGGGGATCACGCGCATATATACTGGGATCGGCGAGTCGCTTAGCTGAACTACCTTGGGCACTCTGACCTGGAGGTTGAAAGCCAACACCGGCACAGAAGAGGTGCCAAAAAACTTCTTCATCTTGTCAGACGTGGACAGCTCGGCGTTCTCCTTGCCCGGGACGAGACGTTGCGAGCAGACAGTGTCCGCATGTGAGGTGATTTCAAAGTCGAAGTCGCTGACAGGCGGGTTCGGGTCGACATTGATGAGTCGGATTGGCAGGACGGCTTTCTCGCTCGATGACGATCCCTGCCCTTCGGACTTGAGGGTAGCCTCCAACAGGTACTCAATGGTGCCCTTGGCCCCGCCATTGGAAACACTGAACGACGCTGGAAGCTCTCGCTTGCCGACCGAGTCTGAATCTAAGGGGATATATGACAGCTTTGGGCTGTACTCGCCGGGGTAGAGTCGCGCATCGATGTTAGTGGGAATTGTGAAGCTGAAGGGCCATTGCTGACGGTCCTTGGTCGGGATATGCAGAGGGCCCTGGAATATCTGCTTTTCCTGGCGGAAGAGCGCGAACTCGCCCTTGTAGGTGTAGGTCACGTCGCCAGACCTGTAGTCGATATAGGACTTGGAGCGGCCATGGAAGATGACGTCGATGGTAGCTTCGGGGCTCACAATGGTGTTCGCCCGGTAGATTACCCCACTGACTGTGTCGCCGGGGCGGTACGTGGTCCGGTCGGTCTCGATGCCGAGGTCTTTGCTGATGCTTGCTTTCTTTGCCGCCATCTTGGAGGACAGTCGTCAGTCGTAGGTATGTGTTGGAGATGGAGGAGAGCTCGCGCAACCCCGCATGGTCGGATCATTGTGTTCATATAAGCCCATCGTATTGTTCAACAATGGCCAAGCCTTACTGTTTCTTAAGCGGCAGTCTAAAAATAACCTGGAATGGCACAGGGCGAATCACAGTCTCACCACGGTTCATGCGAAACACTCTAGTGGATCATGGTTTGCATTTCGGCCCCTGAATTACAGGGTTTATTAGCATTCTGATGACGTACGTAGGTGGGGTGAATCCCTCGAGCACACCTGAAGCTCAAGATACAGCTCTTTTCCAGCCTTCAATCACGTAAGTTGAGTGTCCTGGGAGCCAAACCATGTCTCAGCCGGGACACCTCTTGCGTGTCATCGTCGTAGCAGCCTTGCATTAAATCCTACCCAGCTCGTTTTGCCCTCTTAAGCAACCTAGTGTTAGCTTTGGAGGATTGCCACACTTACAAAAGCACAATGGACCCCCCTCACAGTATCTCGGCCCGTGAGCATACTATGTGTAAGGCTGCCTAAAATGCCGAGCCGCCACTAAACGTTCCGAATTTAATAGCTCAAGGGCCAAGTTGCTAAACTAGAGATTCTAGTGACACTGATAAAACGTACCAAGGCTAGAGACTAACAAAAAGGGAATACCAAGTCATGTTAATGCTACACTAGATATTGAGACAACTTACTAGGTATGGAGTTTAGTCGTGTTATTCAAAGCAAACGGCGTCCAGAATGTTCATATCCACCCAAGCTACGCATGGGTTCGAAGAGCATAGCAAACTCCAAATTTATGCGTAATAGCACACCTGCGCTATGAAAACACCAACCTAAAGTACTCAGGGCAAAGATAGAGTTGCCGGTTACTTGAAATTTAAGCCGACGAAAAATGAGCAACGCAATAGCAGCAAGAGGACAGACAATGTAGATGGCTGTGAAACCAAGGATGTAAGTAAGAAAGGCGCCCTTGATTCTTCACTATGCAAAGCCGTATCAATTCTCATCCTGAAAAGGGTCCGCGTTTATCATTACGATTGTCTCCAGCTCGCGATCAACCCAATTATAAACCGACGGGGACCCATGTCAACTCCCCTGTAGGTCTTCCCCGCCTCGCCCCTGGGTTGGTGCAAAGAGCTATCTGAACATCGATCGGCGTTGTTCGTGCCTGTTGACCCAGCGCTTCAACTACTCTCCGGCCGGGGGTTCGGCCGAGGCCGGATCTCAGACGGACCGAGTTGGAGGGCGACGCAGCGCCGCAAGAGGTTGTAGCGTCGCAAGTGAACTGGCGCTCAACTCAAATGGCACTCATTCTATGTTTAGAGCAGCCACACCGTTAAGATTCGTGCGTTATTTGTGTCAAGCGGGAGTGGGAGGTGGCGGGCGTTTGCAGCCCGGTGGGGCAGAGTTCAATCCAGCCTCGAGTCAACATAAGGCTCTACCAAATAACGCCAAGATCCATCTAACATGGGAATTTTAATTTCTATATGCATGGGACAGGCGTTTTAACTTAGACTAGTGAACAAGAGACGATCTGGGCTCGACGGGGTCGGTAAGCGCCGGCCCTTATGCAGGTCGCAGGCCGGTTCGCCTGCCAATTTTGATGCCTATGGCCGGCGGCTACATCTTCATTGGGTGGCATTTGTACATATCTCGCCCAATGATTGACCAAAGTCCTTCCAAGAAGTCAGCTCGTTTCAGCTTGGGATGAAATCTATCGATCCGATCTTTTCGATGAAGGAATAGAAGTAGCCTTGGGCTCCTTGATTCATGTTGACTAAAAAGATGAGTTCCTCACAACTCACTTCTTGGCGTTTGGGATTGTCTCTCCCTCTCACCCAACCTTAAATCCCTACAGCGGCGTATAGACTTGACATCCGAGCAACATAAATGAGTTGGCCAAGGAACAATCGTCAATTGTCGTGGACGGACTGGTCTTTCTCAGATGTAGATGCCACCCTAACTCATAATACGCTTGGATCTGCCAGCAAACCTGCATCGCAACTTCATAATGAGCTACATCAGAAAACGGAAACTGGAGGCGAGCTTAGTATATCTACAACCATTACAGAACCTCAGTCAGCGAGAAAGGAACGAAGCTTGCGCCACAGCTTCATATCATGGGCCCCCGAAATAGTATGGTGTTTCTCTGCCATAGTAGTGTTCATCGCCCTGGTTATTCTACTACAGTTCTTCGACCATCAGCTAAGGCCAGATTTGCCACTGGGCTTGACTCTCAACACACTGGTCGCGCTTCTGGCCACAGCTTGCCGCTTCATGACTGCGGTGCCTATAGAGGAAGGCATCTCCCAGCTAAAATGGAATTGGATGGCCACTCGTCAAAGGTCGCTCCATGATCTATATAAATTTGATCAAGCTAGCAGAGGTCCCATAGGGTCCATGCGATTGATCCCCATTATGCGTGGAAAGTATGCAGTTTATTTCAGTCTATGTTCGAAGACAACTATCACTTGTTATGAAAAATATACTAACATCCCCGGTAGATTTATCCCAGTCGTCTCGACAGCCTTAATTGTTCTCCTATCCAGCTTATTGACCTCCTTTGCGACACAATCTGCCATTTCATATCAGGATTTCCGCAGGCAGACAACATCCGGAAACTCAGACCCCCAGGCTCCAGTAGCTCTTCACTACGATGTAGAAGACTCTGAGAAAAATCAGAACCGTTTGGGTATAAGTTAATCATCCCCTTTGCAGTGATCAACCTTGTTAAGAACATCATGTATAGATCACCACAGAAGAGCGAGCGAGATGGCACGGGCTGGTTACCAGGGGTTGCTTCAATCGGTGCAAACAGAATGGCCACAGATACAGCTCCAGTGCCCGTCTCAGTTTTGCGAATGGCCATCCTTCAGCTCCTTGGCCGTATGTAGAACTATTAACAATGTTACCGGCCACCTCCAGTTGAAGAGCGGATCCGATTCTACGCGCCAAGGTAGCAGAACACAGTACTATGCTTCGCTCCCGGGAAAAGATAGTGCCTTGAACGTCTTTGAGCTGGATTCTTTCGGGTTGAATATGACCTCACCGGAAGACAGGCCGTACGAGAAAAGCGAGACAGAGAAGTGGACTTCCTTCGCCCTCTCCGATGATGATGCCGTTCTCCGGACTGCGTTCACTCGGTTCTACATACATTACACGAACTTCGCATCTCCAACAATCCCTGCGAGCTTCCGCGCTACCGAAGTCTTTTGGCATTTTTGCGTCAACACCTATGACGTTGATGTTACAAACGCCACTTCAGACACACGGGTCAGTACCACAGCGACAAGAGTCCGCGAGGTGTATGGTGATCCTCGGCCAAGCCACTATAGCTCTTTCTCAATGGAGAGCGAGGACGGGAAACAACTGTTCAATGTCTCCGACCGCTTGAAGTATCGCCTGAAACAACAGATCAAATACGACTTACAGGGCACTAGTAATTCCGTGTATGGTGACGAGTCTGTGCTTCCCGCGGTCGTATTAGCGAATTTATACTATGGGTACCAAGGATCTTCTGCAGAAAGAAAATCCGCTGGTGAAAATCCATCCGAAGAAGAGCTTGACAAGGAACTATGGAGCAACACTGAGAAGCTCACCCAATCACTCGCAGATGCCATGACGACTCAGTAAGTCAAGATGAATCTACCCATTTCCAATTAACTTAATCCTACTGACATGGCGGAAACAAAGTCTTCGAGCCACGGAAAAGAGCGGGACAGTTCGCGGATCGGCTTATGAGATGCAAACCTACATTGTCGTCCGGTGGGAATGGCTCTCCTTCTTGGCAGCCCAGATATTTTTGACCATCGTGTTTCAGATTACAGTTATCATCCAGACAGCGAGAATGAGTGTTGGTATTGTCAAGAGTTCCAATATGGCCGAGCTCTTCGCTTTATATGGCGACGACGACGATAACTCGTCCCAGAAGTGGGCTTTGGCCGCGGCTGGTCTCAGGGCGAGAGGCATCGGCACGAAGATCAACAACAGTATAGAGGCGAAATTAATTCCAGGAAGCCACGGATGGAATCTACAAATAAAATAAAAACAAAAATCATGATTCCCTAGATACTAGACGTTTGTGGATTTTGATATCAAGCCCTAGACCGCAGTCACCCCTTCGCAGGATCTATAGTTCCCTTCTTCAAGTTCCTAGTCTCCTCCTTTATAGCTACATGAGATGGGTTTTGTCTTGAAATCATTAAGTCTCCTCTGTTCTCTGACTCTTCTATTGCCAACATACCCATAGACTATCCATGGATTATCACAATCGTCATCCTGCCACTGCGACCGGGCTCTTTCTTCTCAAAGCACCGGTTTTTGCATCATAAAGAACCGTTTTCCCATTGCTCATGCGGATAGTCACGAATTCTAAAGTTTCGGTGAAATCAAACATTCTCCAGTGGGAGAAGTAGGTATCTAGAGCCGAGGATGGAGAGCTCGACCATGAGAAGCAGCACTAACCAGAACATATTCAAATTACCTAGTGTACTTCTCACTCCGAATTCTAATTGAGCCACATAGAAACCGCAGTTCACCTTCTGGTTCGGCTATAACATCATGCGAAGACCTGTTTCCTTCTGCTCCAGCTATCGGGAAGACGGGAATAGAAGGGGAATCGGCCAGAAATCGTCGCATTGACTGCATTGACGCCTATCCAATGCTGCGGAGGCTCATAATTTCCCTATGCCAACGTGTTGGTGGCAGTACTTGTGAAAATTGATACACCTGTGCATCGTTTGCTGACAGTATTTCAGCGCCAAGCGTAGGGATGAAAGCCGAGAAATCCAGCACCAGGCCCTTCGAGAGAGGAAGGATGAAAGGGTCAGCTAGACTACTTAAATTTCCATTAGCTACCTACCTTAGTTAGAGAAGACAAGTTGACCTCACAGCCGACGCAACCAACGTTGACATGAGTTCTAAATACATGCGCAAAAAAGAATTTGTGAGTCTTCTAGCACGGCGGGCTATCCAGCTCTTGCTAGTTGTAATTACATGGCATATCCTGGTCTTTACAGTGAGAGTACGGAACTTTTGCCGATAACCTTAGCTGGACACCATTCCAGGAGTCCATAAACAGTAAGTATTTTCGTATTTTACAATTGCCGCAAAGGTAAAGCGATACTTGATAAACTACCTAGGTAGGTAATACCTAGGTACCTTAGGTAGAGTATCTCTTCCCCATTAATTAGCTCTCTTAGCCTCCATCTCTATTCTAGCCAGGCATAGCCTAATACCCAGGCAGCGGCACACGCCCTACGATGATGTGCTCAACACTTTCTGCAGGACAAAGAAACCATCACAGAAATTCTCTCCAAGCTCATCATGGTAGCTACGTTTTACGCTCTGATATCGTGTGAATACGCTGAAGCCAAACACTGCCTATATAAAAATTTAGTTAGAGGCCGGGGCGACAACCACGACCACCAGCATATGAATCCCCGGCACGATGTCTAAGCTCACCCTCACCCAAAGACCATGTTACAACTCATTAGAGATGCTTAGGGGTAGGAACTCCTGCTTGACAGACTTAGCAACTGCTGAACAAACCCCAAACTCCCTGAAATCTGTAGAATCGAGTTCAAGACCAAATATCAAATTGTTCATTTTTCCATTTACCATGGTCATGGCCAAATTGAACCCTAAACCTCTAGAGATGCATTGGTTAGCGAACAATGACGCAATGGCTTAGCTCCCAAGGGTCTCACGTGACCTCGTGTTCAACTCGCGTCACCCCCCGCCTGCCTATTCACGATCTCTCCCTCTCCAGGCCGCAACTCCAAAAGCACAATCATACATGTGATCCCCCCGAAAAAGCATGGCCGCCGCTCCGGAGGAGGCCACGGAAGCCACCTCCCTCCCAGCCTCCGAAGCCTCGGAGCTCCTCTCCTCCTTCACATCCTTCCTCACGCTCTCCATCCACTCCCTCCTCTACTACCGCTCCCTGTACCCCGCGACGACCTTCCTCACCGCGCGGGCGTACGACCTCCCCGTCCACCAGTCCCGCCACCCCAAGGTCTGCAAATGGGTCCTCGACGCCGTGGCGGCCGTGAAGGTCCAGCTCACGCGCGCGACCGTGGAGAAGATCGTCTTCGTCATCCACGCGCCGGACTCGTTCTCCGTCCTCGAGAGGTGGGTCTTCGACGTGGGCTCCTTCCCGGCTTGGCAGGACCCATCCGCCGAACCCGCCGTGGATGAGGACGACGGGCTTGGTGATGATGACGGGGTGGAGGCTGACGAGGAGGAAGAGGAGGAGGAAGAGGAGGATCAGCCAATTTATGGTTATGATGTGATTGAGGAAGAAGGGGAGGAGGGTGACGAGGAAGGGGAAGTTGAGTTATTCGACGACGACGCGGAGGAAGAGGAACTAATCAATTGGACTGACGTTAATGAGGCGCTGAGGGGCGCCCTGAGGAATCTCTCTTATGTGGCTGAGAGGCTACCCGCCTTACCCAAAGGTTGTACTTTTACACTGGCAGTGGACATCCGTAAAGGAACGCCTGCCCCAGCCACGGTGAGTATCCCGCCTTTGCTCTCCAACCAAGAGAAGATTCTATAAAGCATCTTAAGAACAAGAACTAACTCCACCCCAAGCATCCCCGCCCATGGATAGCAGCACCGCCAAATCGACAGCGGCAGAATCCCCTACTGCAGGACAAGCAGAAACAGAAGCAGAAGCAGAAGCGCCGGGTAAAAGGTAAGATCCCAGCGCGGCGCACGGAGACCATGGCTCCCGTCCGCGCCGTCCAGGCGGGGCCCATGTTCTTCGAATGCTGGGCGGAGCTGTCGAAACCCAGACCCCCGTTCTTCAAGAAGCCGGAGAAGCCCGTGGAGAAGCCCGAGGCGAAGCCAAATGCCCCGGGCCCTGCGCCGGAAGCCAAGGAGTTGCCCTCCATTCTGAAGAAAACGCCCGGGTCTGGAAAGCGCGTCCAGTTCAAAGACGTGCCCGTCCAAGACGGCGAGAAAAAGCCAGCCCGAATCTCAAAGCCCAGGACAAAGTCAAAGTCAAAGTCAAAGTCGAAACCAAGGCCGAAACCGAAGCCGACGCCTGGGCCTGCACCAAAGGCCTCGACTTCTTCGACGACGACTCCTGCTGCGTTATCACATAGGGTCAAGACAGCACCACCGCAAGAAAATAAATAATCATCATCGTAACACATCGCATTCATCAAGTCTACCGACATCAGCCTTTTTTACCTTCCGTAGACAATTTTCGTGCTTGTGTTCCCCATCCTTGTCATCTCGTCTTCCAGATCATGCCCGCGAAGCTCTCTCCCTATGCCTAGAATACAGCAACATGCCACAAAGTCATAAAAATCCATTTGCTGCCCTCGTGAACCCAAACCGAATTAAAAACAAGCCTTCCAAACAAGCTCCCATAAATGATGCCAGAAAATGAACCCCTCCTCCCGCCCCTCCGTTTGACCGTGTTAAACCGCCATCAATCATCATCACGTAACCAACAACGCCCAACGGCCACCATCGCGAGCCTTGCCAGGGAGAGAATCACTTATTCGGCCGTCCCCTTCAGCGCCGCCCGCAGGCTCACCATTTCTCTCTTGAGTCTCGCGTTCTCCTTCTTCATCCGAGCCGTCTCCTCGCTCTGATCCTTGAGCTTCTCCATCAGCTCCTCCCTGTCCTCCTTGCCCTTGCCCTTGACGGCGCGGACAATCTTGCCCAGCTCTCCGTTGAACCTTTCATAGAGAAGCTCGTTCTCGGCCACGGACTCCTTGTAGAGCTGGTCGATAGCCTTGACCTTGGCCTCCGAGGCCTTGACAGTGTTGTCCATGTCCCGCTGGAGGGAGGACTGCTTGTCCCCGAGCTCCAGCATGGCAGCGGGTATCCTGGCCTCCAGGGCCTTGATACTGTTCACCAAGCGTCCGAGATCCGCGCCGCCCTGGGAGTTAGAGAGGCTGGCATTGTTAACACGTGCCATTTCTTCTCCTATCTTTGAGAGCTCGGACCTGAGCGCCGTGTCGACCTCTTCCAGCGCCTTCTTTTCCGTCGCCAGTCGTTCGCGCAATTTCTGTGGCGATTGCAGACGCAGCCTTTGAGGGGAGCGTGTACGGCTCGACGAGCCAAGGCGCGTGGGCGAGTCGGCTCCTGAGTTCCCTGACCTGGCCGGTCTCAGCGTAGGTATGTTGGAAGTGGAGAGTGTCTTGGAGTGCCGGTGCTTGGAGGGGGACTCCCGTTTGACAGGGGACCCCTCCGAAGGAGCCACACCCTGGAACAGATCCACAACATTTTCTTTCTGCCTTGGCGACCGGAGAGCTTGGGATGCGCTGGGACTACTAATCGGAATCCTTGAAGGTGACGGTGCTTTGGGGCTTCTTGGGCTGGAATTAAACTTTTCTGATGTTTGTTTCGTGTCTTGCAACGGTTGCGGCTGCGGCTCGGGCTCAGCTGCTGCCTCTTGCTCTTGATCGTCGGTCAGCGTGGCCGCGGCCATGAGACTCTTGAGATCTGACAGAGAGCTCCGGCGCTTCTTCTTGGGTCGGACTGTCCCCATATCATCATTATCAGGCTCGCCGATTGTGCTCAGCGAAAAGTCCAGCCGGTAGGAGCTTGGAGGACGAGCAGCTTCGTCGAAAGCCCCGGCAATGGGAGGTCGATCGCGAGATCCCGGACGCCGAAGCATCCTCTTGGATAACGCGCCATCATCCATCGTCTCAGCGCGGCCTACTGGTGTCCGGGTAAGAGTCGATGTCTCGCCAGTAGCAGGATTCCGATGCTTGCTCAATGTTCGCCAGACAGATGAACGCTCGTCCTTGCTATTCTGGCGAAGCAAGGTATCAAACCCGAATTTCCGTCGCAATGACGAGGTGTTTGAAGTGACGGATCCCGTGTACGACTTATTTCCTCGGATAGCTGAGTTGATGGACTCATACGCCTGGCTGCCGAGGTTAAAGCTGTGATTTAGACTTGGCTCCTCGAAAATACGGTCACAGTCTTCAACCAGCCGGTCAAGCAAGTTGATGTAGTTGGGAGCAGATCCATCATATACTAGAAGCTCGGAGAATGCAAGAGTCAATGCCCCTCGATCGCTGTCATTCCCGCATCCATCCAACAGATCAGCGAGGAGCTTGATCATCGAAGTGAAGGCTCTCCGATTCTGTGGCGCCATATCTCCAAACAAGAAGTTGACAAAATCAGCAAACTCTCCAGGAACCTTCTTGTTGGCACGCTCCTGGAGTGTGTTCATCGACTGCATGGACATGACAGGCCCCATTTGCTCAGTCCAGGCAATTCTGAGGAACTTCTCGAAGGCTACAAATATGACCTCAGTTGAGACAAGCTCTGAAGTGGCCTCAATCTCATAAGGCATCTCGATCAACTTATTATAAAAGTCGTTGACAACGAGTTCGTCCGTCATGGCACGGTTTAACAGCGTACGTCCAATAATGAGGCCCTTGCGAGACTGCAGAGCAGCGACGTAGCCGACAAAGGTCCGCTCAAGACGGACAAGAGGATTCTCTGGACGAATCTCCTCGGTTGCAATCTTTTCGCCGTCTTTGCCTCGAAGGGAACCGAGAGAGCTAAGGAATGAGTGCTGGCTGTTGTTGCGATGAATAGACAGAGGACGTCCGCTCCTGGAACCCGACGTCGAAAGCTCCCCGCCGTTTTGAGTCTGGCTCGATCCCCCAGCCCAGAAGCTCGAGAAGATTTTGACTGGGGATGTCGCAAGGAAAGAACGAGTCTTTTCAGCGCGAGTGGCCAGAGGGAGCTGCCGAAGAGTTTTCGAGTAGTACGAGACCATCGCGGCCGTAAGCTGCATGTTGGAAACACTGAACTGGATGCTAAGGAGTTGAATAACTAAGTAAAAAAAGGTTAGTAAAGGCTGACACGGTAGAGATTATGCTGAAGGTAGGACCTACTTCGCCGCGAGAGTGTTGGCAAGAAGTCCTCGATCGCAATGTCGTCCTGGAATTCCTTTCCATTCAGGCCGACAGTGGTCATCGACACCCGCTTCATATCGTTACTCCTAACCTCGACAACAATCTCAACGCCATAATGACCCACGGGTGCCCCCTTAGTGCCCTTCTCGTTGTCAACCACCACGCGGATTGGTGCAGGTTCTCGGCGGCCTTCAACGAGCTGGTGGGCACCTTCTTGGAATACTGCAGCGTGCAGACCAAGATTGCTATCGGGCATGCGTGTGGACCGCAGCGTCCAGCATGGGTCCTCTCGCTCAGCTTCAGAGAATCGTGCCTCGACGCGGGCCTTTACAACATCCTCTCCCCATTTAGCAGCCTTTCCCTCCATACTCTCCGCGAGGAGGAAGCACCGTGAGGTAACAGCTTTGCTAATGCGGTGCTCACCAGCATGAGCGCCTTTCATATCCTGGGTGGATGTCATCCAGACTAACGATCCATCGGCGGACTCGCTAAATCGGGCATCGGCAAGACTATGCCAACCAGTGAAGACGAACTCATAGTTGGCTGGGCCACCCGCGGCGTTGGTCATTGATATTAACAAGCCAGCAGCGGATGGTTTCTCAATTTCTCTAACCAAGTCACGTCCGGACATTGTGCCACTCACCCGCTTCAGGATAACAATACAGTCAGAGAACAAGAGGAAAATGCCTGGTTTGTCAGATACATTCGATGACGCTTGGAATGGGGGTGGGACTTCGATGAAATCAGCGGCTAAGATCAACCGCCCTTGGGGTTCAAGATCCATGGGCCACGATTCAACCATATTGCGTAATCGGCTGGCGATATGGGGCTTGTCCGGCAAGGGCTCGTCCATGGAGCAGATGTTCGTAATAATATCCCTGGCCTTGAGCATAGGCTGTAGCGCAGGATGCGTAATTGGGAGACACCCGACAATTTGATCGATGAGCAGGCTGTATCTCGGGAGCCTCTGAACTGGCTCGATGAGAATCGAGCGCATGGCCTGCTCTCCTCTCTGAGCCACCCTCTGCTTGAAGCTTGACTGCTGGTCGAGGAAGGAGTTAAGGAGAGTCGGGAAATGCTGGCTTGCCTTGATGTAGTCCTGGTAACATCCAGTAAACTTAGGGAACCACTCCAAGAACAACCGGGCAATGGCAAGGGCGCCAGTGGGGTCCCTGTGTCGGCCGCTTGAGCCCAGCTTCGAGCCCAGCAAGTTGACTGTAGAAACCTCCATGTCTTTGCATGCCTCATCTTCCGTCTCATCCATGATTCTCTTCAGCTCGTCTCTGAAACCCGAGTTCATCTGAAGAATACTATCCGCAGACCTGGGGAATAGTCTCTCAAGCTCCTCTTCTGACGGACTTAAACTCTCCGGGGCCCGTTTCTTTGCAGACTCACGAAAGTCATTTGCAATGTGCTGGACCAACTCCCCCAGTTTGTGTACATAGCGGTCTTCCGTATCAACCAGTTCACTCAGCTTCATTCGCAACTCGGACTTCTGATCCTTGGTGAAAGATTTATTTCGGTTCAACGCTGTCGGTTTCGAGGGCGCTCGTCTAAGTTTGCTTGTCGGCAGAAACACAGGATCTCCGAATACCTTGACAAGTGGAGTATACCCTCCATACTGACGCAGCGTGGGGTCGAAGAGACCGTCTTCATCATCTGGCACCTCCTCCAGGTCCTCGGGCTGCAGGGGAACAATTGCGCCCGGAGGTAGAACCAGGTCAACATCCACATTGTTGAGATGCTGCGTCTGGAGCGCTTCCTGGAGGACAGAGATCACCTCGGAACCGTTCTCGCTCGTTACCATGGAGGCCACCAGATCTGCCGCATGCTGATCGCCGAATAACGCCGGTGCGCTGCCGGGCCGTCGTCCTCTGGTGGGGTATAAATTCTTCAGGTAATTTTTGACGCCATCGGGGAGCTCAGTGAAATATTTGAATAGACCAAAGGCGAGCCCTCGGTAGACCTCGTCGCCCTGGAACTCACGGGGGAGGTAGTTGACGACGGAGTAGAATGGAGAGTTTGGTGAGATAGTAAGCCGGGGGAAAGACTGGCACCCGGCGGGAGTAAAGACATGAACCTGGACTCGAGAGCTATTCAGGGTATAATTGGCAGTCGTTGACGGTCCGTGGAAGATAAGAATTGGCTGGTGCCCGAGAAGAGGATCCGAGGCATGGTAGAGAGTGAGGTGCTCTGCCGAGAGAAGCACCTCGTCCGTGACACGCACCATAGTCTGGTCAAGAGGCCTAAGTCATGGCCCTCCGTCAACTATACACTGTCGTTCGCGGGCCGCTTCGTGGGCCGCGCTGGTTCGAAGTCGGTCGGATCGATCGTTGGTTGCCAATTGAAGCCTCTGTTTGGGTGTGGTGGGCCGCTATCAGCAAAAGGTAAACATTGGAGTCGCGCGCGCGTCAGAAGGTTTGTGTGACCAACAACCACATGCAGGCCGGCGATCAAAAAAAGATGTGTCACACGGAACCCGACTCGACACACACACACACACACAAGACACACGCAAGGAGGGGGAGTGCGCGACGGCAAGCGAATGTAGGGATGCAGCAGCCCGAAAGTTGTCCCCGGAGGATGGATTCGATGGCGCAAGTCCACTTCTGCCCTGCCTGGTGGTACATACCGTTAGGGCCGTAGTACTAGGCGGTCAAGCGGCGCCCGATGCAGCGGTGCGCCAGGGCCTCGAGATTTCCAGTGGGGTTTCCCTTTAGGGCGCGTTGAGACGCGTCCACATTAAGCTTTTTGATCTGGCCTATAAAACACCCCGCCGCCGACAGCCTCCATTTATTTCCCAGCAGCCTTACTGCCTATTAATACCTCCCATTGGCCATCTCTAGGCTGCCCCTCCCCCGCCCAAAGTAAACAACACTCATCACTAAGCTTTGCAGTCCACATAGCAACAACGGCCACCCATCTACAACCATGTCATCCAGCCAGACCAGGGGCGTCCCCCTCTTCAACCTACCCGACGACGTCGTCTACCGGCTCATCGAGCTCCCTCCCGAGCTTCAAACCCTCCTTGAAAGCGACCAGGCCCCCGTGTAAATAGCTTCCCGCTCCTGCATAGCCCCCACACCCTCCCCCCTAGACGACAACCATGCTAAATCGCAATTCGTCTTTACGACCGGTAGTCTGACTCTCGAATCCTCCCCATCCTCTGCCCTCTTGAGAACCGCCGACAAGACCTACGCCCTTCGCCAAAAGAACACATCCAATGCCCTCATCATCCTGAAGCCGCACACTCCCGATCCCTCCAACCCTGATGAGGGCATGGCGCTCATATCCACCATAAAAGAGACGGTTGATCTTGAGGCTGTGAAAGACCCCGCGACGGTACTGGAACCCGCAGGGCCTGCAAAGAACACTGGCAGCAAAGGCAAATGGCACGAGCGCTTTGGGAGAAATAGGTAGGAATAATAACGAACACAAAAGCTGTAAAATGCTACTGGCCTCGGGCCATCCTGCGGAAGTGATGCAAATTCTGAGGATTGTGATAAATTGACAATCTGAATTTCAAACCGGCCTCCCCATGCGATCCCTCAGGCCAGTTTTTGTTTCAATTTTGCCATTACTCCTGGGTTTCACCCTCGTCATAACTCGTGAAAATGGAAAACCCCGACAACAACCATATCCCTCCATTTGACCTCAGGCTGCATGTACATCAAGGATAAATTATTTCTTAACCAGTGGAACCCTCCATATCATTCATCTGCTTGAGATCTTTAGCCACCCAGCTGCTGGCCGGACAGCCTATGCCCAAGTTGCTACTTAGCTTTCTCCAGGAACTGTCTCAGTTCCCGATGGTCGGAGCTGGACAGTCTACCTTAATGCTTTCACAGCACCACCAATTTATGCCCATTCGCGGCGTTGGGGCCAATCCTAAGCTCTGCGTTGAAGCAATGCCTCCGCTTTAGCCCTGACAGCGTTCGCACGCGCCTTTGCTTCAGCCCTGACAGCGCTCGCCTGCGCCTTCGCTTCAAGAATATGATGGTTTAATCGCGGATCCTGTTGCGGTACTTGTCTGAGAATACGTCCTGCTCCGACGGGAGGAGCGGGAGCATTGACTTTCTGACCTATTAAAGGGTCATACCGCTCCCCATATCCACCAGCAGGCAGAAGATCAATGTCAACAGGAACGTCAACCGATCTTTCTGCCGCATGGCCATTTGGCCCAACTCTCTCGGGGCCGGGAAAGGGCATAATCCCTGGCCGGATGGCGAGATGTCCTGCCGGCTCAGGGCCGTCGGGTATCACAATTGGATTGAATGGTGCAACCCCCGGGTCAGCTGGGGGAGCTACGGGCGGTTGTGGCCTCTCGCGAGGCCGGAAGGGTTCCCTAATATGCCTTAAATGAGCTTGCTCACGTTGTTCTGCCAGATCACGAGGTATGGCTGGCAGTGCCACCTGTTGGACCGGCACTCCTTCTAACCTACGCGCTGCCCAATAGTACCCCCGACCGTGATGACTGGCTTGTTTTCGACGTTCGTCGTCTTCCAAAACGCGGGTTGACATGTCGAAATTGAGAAGACTGGGGTCAACATCCGGTCGTTTCTGTGATACTGCTTTCCTTGTAACTTCCTCAGCCTGTTTAACTTCCAACTCATGCCGACTCTCAACATTCTTGTCGAATAGTGGGCAGTTTCCCTCCTGCCCTCCTCGGTTTGGGTCGTTGAAGTGTTTATAATCGCAGTTTTTGGAGCAGATATAACATTGGACATTTCGGCATGCCTGTTGTGGGCACGTCATTTTGTTGCACCCGGTCTCTTTTACAAACGGCATCCCACCTAAGCGTAAATATCAGCATAATCCACGTCATTCTGCAGCTCATTTGACTTACACTTGTTGCACCTCCGTATAAGTGCAGCAGACATGGCTTCTTCGATTTCTCTCCTGGCAGAGTACCCATTCTCCCTAGCGGATTCGTCGCAAGTCTTGGGGATGTGAGTCTCTTTTTGGCACAGCCGACAGCTCACAACCTCGCATTCAGAGTTCGCGCATCGGAATTCTCTATCCTCCTCGACGGGTGGACACTGTGCTGCGTAGTTGCAAAAGGGGCAGTGCACAAGACCCTCCAAGTTCACCAAAAGAAGCACGGCAGCAGCTTCAATCTGGTCCAATGCTTTGATTAATTTATCGTCCAGAAATTTACTTCGTTCCGCTTGTGAGAAGCTACCATCGCACTTGTCCATGGACATGCAAGTAAGCTCATACTTCGAAAGACCAATCAAGGTCTCCGCGTATCGGCGAGTGCAATCGACGCAGAAGAACTAAACATGTGTCAGATACGCAAACATCCGGAATACTTTGGGAAAGCGTTCAGAAAGGGTAGACGAACGTGGACGACTTCCCCTTCACATTGTACCATCTGGTGCAAGGGGCACTCAATAAAACAGCACTGACACTCTATCACGTCTTCAGCGACAACGACCTCCGTATTCTCTCTCGCCTTATTCTTAAATGGCTTGCTCTGTCGTTCCTCATGGCGTGCATGCCTCATCTCCCAACACACACCAAGCTCCTGCAGAACATTTCGCTTGAACCCCTCCTTCGCCGCTCGAATGACGGATCTCATCGCTCGGTGGTTTCGGGGGTTCAAGAACGGTTTTTGTATAGTCGACGGGTCTGAAAGCATCGCAAAGGGCTTTTCTGGAATAGTATGCCATGTATACACAAGCGTGTCTAGGGCAAGATACGTCGATCGCAGACAATATTGGTGGTCGAGGAGAAGTTTGTCAATTTCTTTGTGCGGTACACAGGGGTATTCTTGGTGTAGAAGTTTGGATCTGGGTTGGAAACGAACTATTAGCCTTCGGGGGGTATGCAAGCCAAAAGGATCCAAGGCGGCTACTCCCGGGGTGGTATGATAAGGTTCATCTAAAATAAAAAGCGGAGGAAGGGACATTGTTCGTGATACTTACAGAGCCAGTCTCTCAATAGCAGAGTTTGGGACAAATCGGGGTCCATCATGGCCCTGTTCGGCAACATCGACCGCAAGGGCCTCTAACTCAAGAGAACAAAGGCTTTCGTCGCGTTTTCGCTTCAAGCTGGTAGCTTGTTTCATCTGTGACCTCCGGTATGGCCTTCCATGCTCCTCTTCATCCATCAAATGGTTGATCGCTGCCTCTGTATCGTGACGAAAGCTCCAGCCGAGAGATCGAAGGAATTCAGAGGAAATACCGGGAAAGACTGAAGATACCCTCTGAATAAAGTCTCCGATGCTTGATTGACCTGGAATTTCCATCTCATTAATCGATAAAGCCAGCTGAGAGAATAAGGACCGGGCCGCTGCCTTAACATATGACATGAGAGGAGCCCGAGGCTCTGTTTCACGGGGTTCGTGGTTTTGCGGCAGCTGCAAGCTCTGATTGACAATTTCCTGTGTTGGTGTTGGGTTAGAGACGCGAGAAAAGATGTCAACAAGTGCCTTCATTTTTCCAACAATGCCCTCCACTTTCAGGGCCTTACTCTTTGTTCTGGCAAGAAGGTAGTGAATCACAGACGCGAGAAAAAGCAGTGTTTGCTAGGTAGAGACAGTAGGGGAAATAAACAAGGACTGAAATGAGATGGCAGAAACACAAGCGGCAGGCATACGTGTGGTGAAGGGGACCTGAGGAAATTTGAGTAAGAAGCACGGCGATGGGCAGCGTGAGTTGGAACGTGTCTACCCCGAACAGGCGTGGCGGGCAGTAACACAAAGGCTACCTGCATACACAGGATGCGGTCTACTCGAACCAGCAGGATTTCTCCTTGGTCTGGTTCAGCCTGCCCAGTCCAGTGCAACCATCATGGAGGGAGGAGAACGAAAGAAGGCAGGCACGCCCGGTGTTGTGGCAAGAATAAGTGGCAATGTGTTTGTTGGGCCATGTGCTGGGGCGTGCAGGCAGTTGGGGGCGTCCCGGTCATCTGCAAACAAACAAACCGAGAACGAGATGGCAGGTTTATAAATATCTGGAATTGAACTTACTTGGTGCGCAACATGTGGCGCCGGCTGCTCTCCTCATCACATACAACGACTGCAGGTAAAATATGTACTTTCCACCTCCCAACCACGACACCTTAATACATGTACACACCACCGCCTGATGATGACCAAAAGTGCGTCAACCGTCTGTGGTACGAGCAAGAATCGAGAGGAACCATCCAGGTTTCAACTGAGGCTGCTGCAAATTCAACACAATAGCCGCGTGCGCATTCTTGGAGCTGAATGCGTGTAGAGATTCTTGCAGCCGGGTTCTCTTTTGGGCGGGATCGACCCCTCGTGCTCCTCCCAGCATTTAAGCGAAGATGCAGCACACAGAGACCGATCGCTCTTCAGATGGCAGACGAACCTCAACTGTGCCAACCAAATTTTTTTGCGCTTAGACCGAGCGAGAGTCAATCGATACCAAGATGGATAGAAGGAGGAGGGAAGAGTTGGGCCAGTGGTCTCACTATGACAATCCCCCCAAACGCAGCTGACCATCATACTGACCCCAATGCAAGCAGCGAGAAACACATCTCGATGTGGCAGACCTGGGCATCTTTTTTGTCCGCCATCCACTGACAGCTGACGCTGCTAAGGCATGCAGCCCAGAGCGAGCACAGTGACTGTTGCACATAGCCGTGAGGTGTCCTGGGTGTGCAGACAGGGAAACCTGCATCTGCTGCCCCACTGAATCGATCTACAAGTGTGAAGATAGCTACCCTCACGCTTGTGTCATGGATGCTCCATATCCCGGTAGTCAGGGTGGTCCTCCCCGACAATCATGGCGCTTTACGGCTATAGTTGCTTTTGTCCCAGCCATTATCCCTGGTTGGGCAAATTATTGGCCCGCCTGCAGAATGGCTGCAGCTGAAGGGCTCACATCACACTAAGCCAACTTCTGCACATTCACACCAATCCTTCCCAATGGGGCTTGAATCATTGATATCTTACAAGCTGTCTTTCGATATCATATCTCTCTGCGTCACCATTCTGAATTTTCTCCTATTGTTTGTTTTTCTGTCCGCTACTACTGCTACCCAAGTTAATTTGATTGTGACTTCACATTGGCGTTGCCGCCCAATACTCTGATGATAGCTTTCTTGCCCGGGAGGATTTTTTACTCCATCAAGCTTCACAAAGTATCAGCCAAGGCAAGAGCTACTTCCAAGTGCCCGCGATGCACTCTTGCCAGTGAAAGTTTGCAGAGGCAAGAAGGCACAGGAAATTAAAAAGAGCTATCTCACTCTCAACCCCTTTTTCTACAGTTGTTGCCAGGGATGGTCCGCAGCAAGCCATTGTAGATGTATATGGCTTGAGAATCTGTGGTTTGAATAAGAATCTTGCGACTGCATTGTTCTAGAGGAAAGTCAAATTAAGATTATCTTATGACGTAGTAGAATCAAGTACTTACCTAGGTAATCAAAAATATGCAAAGTTTTTGGCACCGATACGATATAAAAGCGAGCTAATGCTCCTCTTTCTCGAATGGAACCTACTTATACGGCTCACTCTAAAATTCCACACGGCATGGGATGCTTAGATTTCTGAAATGCTCTGGGAAATTTCCGGCGAAAGGCCACAATAACATTCTACGAGCAAACTTTCTTCGATGAATACGGAAAACTCTGCCTAGGTAGTCCCATGCAACACTACAGCATCGAGGATTTCAGAGGTGAGCAACAAGGCGGAAACCCACGTGCATTTTTCAGCCTCTACCGTCCAGGGGTTATATAAAGTCATTCTCGTAAGTTAGGAAGATAGGAAAGTTACCATTCGGATTACACTTTTGCGTTGGATTTGGTGGCCGTGAATAAACGCTAGTCCAGCAATGCACGCCCTACCCTAAACCATGCCTCATGATCAATCAATCATTTTTAAACCAACCATCAAGGATACGAATGATTTGTGGTTGCTCGGGGAACTCTCTTTATTTTGCCAACTTTAATAATGAAAAATCTATCTACAAAATGACATTTATTTCAGGTTCGTATTCGCCAGGGGGCAATATGACAGCAAGATCATCCGCTTGGCTACGCTAATCACCTGCCTCTTCGACGTGGCTCTCCATTACCAAACCACCATGCTCGCCGCCATCTTCTTCCTCGGCAGCAGTTGGGAAGAAGCTGGATGCTTGGTGCGAAGATGGTTCGCCCTCACTTTCCTCCTCATACCCTTCAGGAAGAAACCCACCAGCCATATCTTCATCCTGCCCTGACTGTGCTTCCTTCGCAGGCTGCCCCCCTTTATTGTGGCCAAATACCGATACGCTCTCGTCGATTTCTCCATAATCTTGCCGTATCCGCTCGACGATTCGAAGACCCATGAGAAACTTCCTCCACTTTCCAAGGGCTGCCTTACGGCGCTTTTCGTTTTCCTTTCGTTGACGCTCGATTTCGTGCTTTTCTAATTCTTCCATGAGCATCTCGTGGTTCTCCTCCGCGATAACCACGCCCTGTATTACTGGTACTGCCATGCGATGGCCGAATTCAAAGTCCACAACAGCTTCAGCATAGTCGATGCCGATCTTTTTGCAGACCTTGATGGCCTCTCTAAATGGTACATGAACTGCCCCTTGAGGGCACATGTGTTCAACGAAAAGATCAATATTTCTGCATCTGGTCAGCAACGGATCATATAAACCACACAAGTACCCCCATCAACACGTACCCATATTCGTTCTTTGGAATGATGCCATCCTTTATCGGTGGAGGTATAATGTAGTCTGTCTGTTCTTTGCTGAATAACCCCTGTAGAACTTTCCTCCCCGTCATTGCTTCGGCTTCCTCAAGCTCTCGGCGGCGATTGATTGTGGCCGCTCGGTAGGGAACTCGTTTCAAAGGCTCCTCGCCTAGGAGAGGTGCTCGGCCTTGCTTGTGCCAAGTCTCGGCACTCTTGACGTTGATCACATCGGAGCGAAGGAACACATCTTCTTCCTCAATCTTGCCTCCTTTGGCCTTGTTCTTGAATACTTTCACGGGGTTGGAGCCTGGCTTGAGAGCCTCCTCTCGCTTCAGATGGCGCTGTAACACGAATTCCTTGGACTGTTTGTAATACTGCAGAGTCTCGGCGCCTTCCTTGACTTGTTTCTTCTCAGGTTCTGCAGGCCGTAAAGCAGTCGAATCCTCTAACTCGTCCGTTTCAGTCACGGGGGCTTGGCGGCTTCCTCGGCGGTACCCCGCCATTGCCGTCTTGAACCAGTCATAATGATCATGCCGCTTGACCTTCCCATGACGGTTGTAGATGGGTATCTTCTCTAGAGGCATCCTCGCCCCCTTTGTCCGACCTGGCAACACTTGGCGCTTTAGATATCGTACTGTCACATCCTTCGCGGTCCCATCCTGTGAAAATCCGACAATGTAGGCCATGACCTGCCGAGCTTTCTCAGCCTTGGCTCCGCGAGGCTCAAGCGTTTCTATTAGATCTCTGTTTGTTGCAATAATGTTCTTCACAATCGGGTCAACTGGTAAATAAGTATTTGTTACTGGAGAAAGTACCTCTGTCCAATAATGAGGATATTCAAGGTCTGGATCATATTTTTTGGAAGGGACCTTAGACGCTTTAGGCCTGATATCCAACTCCATAACTGATTCGTCATCCGAGTCCTTGTACTCTAGATCGAGCTCATCAGAGTCGGCTATGACGATGGGGTCTGCCTGATTCTTCTTGTTCGATCGTGCTCGGGTGGTGGTTGATCGGGAAGAACCCTTGCCGCTCTTGGAGGCCGTAGCTTTTGATTTAGTTGGCTTGGCTTTGGGAGTTTGTTTGGACGAAGAATTTTCCGTACTGGGCCCTTCCTCGTCTTCTAATTCTGCATCTTCCAGCTTGCTCCAACCAAACCCGAGTGTCTGGAGGTTGGCAACCATGCGTGCTTCAAGTCCAAGTCCTCGAAGAAGGGCCGTGAATAATTGAGACCCAACATCTCTACTCCCGCGGCAGTTTCGGGCACATTCTCGGAATTCTTCGATGGACGACAGCTTTTCACCGAAGCGCTCAGGGTCAGATGGATTTTCTTTATGGGCTTTCGTCAGGCGGTCTAAACGTTCAAGAGACATGTAACCCCATTTGCGAAGACCAGGAGCCGATGCACGGAATCTTTGCCTCCACCAACTGACCAAGGTCTGCATCAATCGGAAGAGCGGATCGCCATGGCTCATATCAACCTTTCCATCTTCCAGTCGCTCGGAAGCTGAACCCCAGTCTCGGGAGCTGCCCTCATTAGAAGTTCTACCCTTTGACTTTTTCTTGCCTTTCGACTTTGCGGAAATCGGTTTGACTGGGGGTGGTTTCTCAAGACCACTATGCCTCCTCCAACGATCAACTTCCGCCCATAGTCCAGGTGGAAGATGTGAGATCATAGTAGCTTGGACTTCTTCATCGCATACCCATGAGTTGCGAATCGCATTGTGCCAGAGCAGAAGCAAGACGTGAAGGCCGTGGGTAGCTATGCGAACCTTTTTCTCACGCTT